AAGCAGGCTCCACGCTCAGTGTGGAGCCTGATGAGGGGCTCAGTCTCACAACCATCAGATCCTGACCTGAGCCAAAATCAAGAGTCAGACGCTTAACCGACTGAGCCCTAATGTTTTTCAAAAAACCCAAAACTAAACATCACAAATATATAACCATCAAAAATATTTTATCTTCTTTGATAATAAAGTCTATTATGTACATTTGACACACCTACACAATTCTTCCAAGGGGCCAATAAAATGGAAATCCATAGAATTCTTTATGATTACTTTTTTTGAAATTCAAATGCTCCTTGTTCTTACAAAACATGGATACACACGTCACATCTTTCTAAAATCATCTTTTTAAAAAAATTATTTAAATTCAATTAACATATAGTGTAGTATTAGTTTCAGAGGTAGAGATCAGTGATTCATCAGTTGCATAGAACACTCAGTGCTGATTCCATCGAGTGCCCTCCTTAATGCCCGTCACCTGGTTACCCCACTCCCACCCCTACCCCCTCCAGCAACACTCACTTTGTTTCCTAGAGCTAAGTTCCTTTTAAGTACAAGGAAACGGTTCATTTCTTATCTCTGTATCCACAGCTAAGCACAGTATGGGACACATAATAGATACGCAGGTGGCTGATTGACTAATACTTCGTTATCCGTTTTGGTGGAAATGCAACAACTGTACAGCATTTGAGGATCTGAGAGTTTCAGGCATATCCGCCCTCCCTGAATTCAGTAAATTCCTGCCTAGAAGTGCTATATTCGTTCCCTCACTCATTCACACTGTTGCAGGCTTACTTCTCTAGGCACGTTTTTAGGCTCTGGAAATAGTGACCTAAGTTACTACTCATAAGTGAATCAGACAGACAAGGTTCCTGTTCTCATAGAATTTACAGCAGTGGGGTTTATGGAAGGGAGGAAGAAAGAAGTTTCTGGAGTGATAGATTGATAGGACTGTGAGGGAGGACCGCGCGTGAGTCCCAGAGGACAGCATGTGCCTGTGGGAACAGAGGCACAAGGACAAAGCCCCCGTGGCAGGAACAGGATTGTTCAAGCAACAGTGCTGGCAGTCCGCCGAGGAAGAGGAGAGGAGCCGGAAGCTAGGGTGGGGAAAGAGGCAAAGTCCAGCTCACGGAAGGACTTTCAGGCCCTGATCGAAAGGTTGGGTTTTAAGCGCAAAGGACACCTCTAGAGAGGTTTTGTGGGTTTTCATTAATTTTTTCCAAGTAAATTCAGGTGAAATGCCGAGAACAGGAAGCTAACCATGCCAAGAGCGCACTTCAGCGGCGTCTAATACACTCGGAGCCATCCGACCACTGTTTCCGGCTGGTTCATCCTATAACCAAAGGAGACTCTCTCTCTTTGAAGTAGGCACTGCTCATCTTCCCTTTCCCTGAGCCCCTGGCAACCCCCAACCGGCTTTGTCTCTGTGGATCGACATATTCTGGGTATTACATAGAAATCCAGTCCTACAGTGTAACCTTTTGTGTTTATTTTTTCCCAGTAGCATGTTTTTGAGGTTCATCCACATTGTAACATGAATCAGTACTTCTTCCTTTTTATGGCCGAGGCACAGCTCAGGTATAGACGCACAACCCGCGCTTATTCACTTAGTGCCCATTCAGGGCGTTTCCATGCTTGGCTGTCAGGACTCGTGTTGCTGTGGACGAATATTCCTGTACCGTATCTGTTGAATAGCTGGTTTCAGTTCTGTGGGTGTATTGCCAGAGGGTGGAATTATGGAGTCACAGGATAATTCCACATTTAACTCTTGGAGGAGCCACCAAACTGGTTTTCACAGGGGCTGCAGTGTTTATTCCCCCTAGAAACCCACAGGGTTCCGAGTCCTGCACCACCTTGCCAATATTTATTTTCAGTCCTTTGATTCTAGCCGTTCTGGTGGGTGTGATGCGGCATCTTGCTATGGTTGTGATTTGCAATTTCTAAATGACTAATGATATTCCGTGCATGTTCATGTGCTTGTTAGCTGTTTGGACATCTTCTCTGGAGAACTGATCATACAAATCCTTTGCTCCTATTTTTATTGGGTCATTTGTCATTTTGTGGCTTAGCTGTAAGAATTCTTTATATGTTCTGAACACTAGATCCTAAGCAGATATGTGATTTGCAAGCATTTTCTCCCATTCTATAGGTTGTCTTTTCACTTTTATGAAAGTACTCTTTGCACAAAGGTTTTCTTGTTTTTAAAGTCTAATTTACCTTTTGGGTTTTTTGTTGTTTTGTTTTCCTGTTGCTGGTGCTTTTGGTCTTATCTAAGAATCCACTGCCAAATCCAAGGTCATGAAGATTTACTCCTATGCTTTTTTCTAAGTTTTATAGTTCTAGCTCTTTTAGGTGTTTGATCAATTTATTTTTTTATATATGGTGTAAAGTAAGGGCACAACCTTGTTTTGCATGGGGCTATCAAGTTGCCCCAAACCATGTGTTGAAGACCACTCCTTTCCCCACCAAATGGTCTTGGCAGTCTTGATGAAGGTCGGTTGACCATAGATGAGCAGGTTTATTTCTGGACTGTCATTTCTATTCTGTTGGTCTAGATGTCTCTCCTTCTTGAGGCACTAGGAAGTTTTGATTAACACAGCTTTGTAGTAAGTATGAAATTGGAAAGTGTGAGTACTCCAACTATATTATTTTTTTGAGGTTGTTCTGCTATGTGAGATCCCCTTCATTTCCGTTTGATTTTTAGGATCAGCTTTTTTATTTCTGTAAATAGGCTGTTGGGATTTTGATAGGGATTGCATTAACTCTGTGAATTACTTCCAAGTACTGCATTTCTAACAATAGTAAGTCTTGTAATCAAGCACCATGAGAGGTCTTTCCACTTATTTAGGTGTTTAGTTTCTACCAACGTTTCCTAGTTTACCAACTTTTGGTTTTATTGATTTTTCTGTTGTTTTTCTATTCCACTTTGGTTTTTTTCCTTAAATCACCACTGTAATCTTTATTATTTCCTTCCTTCTAATGGCTTTGGGTATAGTTAGCTCTTTTTTCTAGTTTTTAAAGTTTAAGTTGGTTTATTGATTTGAGATCTTCATTTTTAATGTATATAAATTTACAGCTATAAACTTCCCTCTCAGCTCTATCACTTAAGTCTCAGAATGTTTTTTTCATTTGTCCCAAAGTATTTTCAAATTTCCCTGTGGCTTCTTCTTTGACCCACTGGTTAAGAGTTTGTGGTCACTGGAGAGTTTTACGTATGGAAGAGGCATGCTAGGATTTATGACTTAGCAAGAATATCTTGGTTGTGAAGTGAATAAAGGGTTGTAGAAGGCAAGTACAAATGCTGGAAAGCCATTTAGGAGGTTGGTGCAATTGTCTGTGTGAGAAATACTGACTGTCAATAGTAGTGACGGTGTGACAGAAATTACCCATACGGGGAACATTTTGGCAGTAAAATCTGCAGGACTTGATCAACTAAGTGGCCAAGGGAAAGAGAGAAACCAGGAATCCTAGGTTTTGGCTTGCACAGTTGGGTGGATAAGAGAGATGGAGAGACAAGGTCTTTTGTTTCCCTTTGGTGTTGAGAAAGAGTCCCGAGGGAGAGAAATCAAGGGTTGTTCTGAGACTTGAGATGCTTAGTAGAACTGTCAAAAAAGCAGTGTTGTGTGCGATGCTAACGTCCCAAATAAAGGTCAGAACTTGTATGCATTTGCAGGCCATCAACACAGAGACGGCTATTCCATGGGACCAGGTGAAGTTACCTGAGGAGAAAGTACAGAGTGAAGAAAAGTGACAGACCAGGAATGAGCCCCGCATTAAGAGGGAAAACGGAAGCCAGGAAAGAGACAAGGAATGGACAATATGTGGTATTGATATGCAGTAATACTCTGGAAATGTGTTAAAGTCAAACAGGGCAGAGGTAGGATTGCTGAGTAGCCATGTGAAATATGTGGTCATAAATTTAAGCCTGATTATAACTTTTCTCCAGTGATGTTCAGATTGTGGAATGAGGGGTGTGAATTAGCAGACTCAGTGAGAGGAGAGAAGGGGGGAAAGAGTATTATTTTTGACTAGAGGATCTATCATGGGTCAGGAAGGAAAGAGGGACAAGGAAGGTAACAGGCACAGCTGAACAGTGGTGGGGTGAACGGCCCGGGACTACTCCAGAAAGCAAGCTGCCAGGGGGAGGTTGGGTGAAAAGAACGTTGGAAAGGGAGATTTAGCGGGGCAGCTACTGAGTAGGTGGCAGTGGAGACCTGGGCTGGGTCTCACACACATGCAGTGCCGTAGGGGAATGCATGTGACACATGATTTAGGAGACTTGTGTGGCCAAACATGAGGTAAACAGGAGGGGTCGTCTCCCAGGGCAGCATGGACTTTCAACTCCCAAGTATTAGTTACTGTTCGAGTAGAGCGGTCACTGTCTCTTGACAGAGAATCCCTGCTGCCCTCCCAATAACTGAATTCCTCTGCTTGGCTAGACTAAGAAAGCCACTTTTACCACTGCACTTAAATACTGGTAGTATTCCACACTTGGCTACCCTTCTGCAGGCCAGCACTAGGGAGTGAGGCTGCTTACTATCCTGCTTCAGATGTCTGATGGCAGAAGGATGTTTTGTTTGATCCAATGTTCATAAAATAACTTTCTACTTATAATACTTATTCAAGTCACATAGCATTTATTTTAACTTTAATATATTACACAATTAAATGTATAGTTTATATTTTAGCAAGATACTATTACAATGACTATTAGGAGCTTAAAAAGTACTGGTCAAAACAGCCTGCTTAGGAGTGAAGACTTCTATCGTGAATTAAGATGTTCAGACAATAAAATAACTGGAGCCATAACTGAATAAACACACTCTCCCACAATGTGCTCAAAGTACTGACTGACTTACACTCAGGGAACCATTTTAAATCCGAGCCTTCTCCCCTTTCTCAGCATGGCTAAATTTTTATTACATGTAGTATATTCTGAACTAGTAATACCTTATATTTAGTACAAACTGTATTCATTTCAATATATATTTTATACGATAAACTTTAGTTTATAGTTTATTAAAGAAACTAGTTTTATGAGTATAGTTAACTTGGTGAGATTTGTGCAATGTAAATATTACTACAAAAACAAGCAAATTCCTTTTACTGTTTGGTTCCCCAAAAATTTCTCTTTAAAAGAAGAGTAATATTCTACAGAAAGAAGTCTCTTGAGGTTGGAGTCATGTTAAAGTAGTTCTTTCTCATCCATAAGATGACATTTCTTTGGATTTGGAGGCTCCTACAAAAGCACTCTTGCCTGGGTGACATGTGTATTTTTCTCTTTGTAGGGCTACTCTGGTATTTCCTGTTACAAAAAGGAATAAGTGGACAAAACTTGGTAACAACTAGACATCACACACGGACATTTCTTTCATGAGCCATGAATAACGACATCAGTCCTCTGCGAACATTAAGAAGCTCCTCTTCTTGCTATAGCCGGTGGGGGGGGGGGAAATCACACTTAGATTTTAAATTATCACTGTAAAACCACCAAACAAACAGGAAAAAAAAAAGCTAGCTATTACTTGGGCTTCTTTTTAAGACAATCCCTTTCATAAGGTTCTTTCGTATCAGTGCTCCTTCTACCTAACTCCTCTCCCCCCGCCCCCTGGGATTTATTCCTAGCTAGCTACAGAGTTCAGGGGTCATCACTGATATTCTAGATCAACTTAGAGATCCAGTCTTTTAAATACCAAATTGTTGACATTTTTTCTTTCTAGACTGAATTTCATTCACCAGTCTAGTTAGCTTGTTTGCTTCAAGCCAAGGTGGCTTAGCCACAAAGTCCTGATCTTCTACTATTCCAGCATAGTGAGCTTCTATTAAAATTAAGTGCATTAGTACTGATCTTTGTGTGCAGGATGTATCACAGTAGACAGAAGATGGTCTGCCAGCTCTAAGACAACACCAAAGACACGTTCACTTGGACCACCCACCCACCAGGAGAGCCTTTCCCCCAGAATGCAGCTGCTGGCCTACTGGACCTCGGGAAAGTCAACTACTTCTATCCTCAAATCTAAGTAAATGGAGTCCTGTTGTCCAAGTATACAGTAATTCCTTCTGGGTAGCTCTGTCCTGACACACCTTCAGAAGGCACAGCAGAGGTCCGCTGCAGTGTAAAGTGCTTAGATACAGTACAAGGAAATCATTCTTTAGCTCATTTTAAAATCTGCAAACTGATACTCCTTTTTTCCTTAGGAGGGACTCATTTTAATCACCTCTATTAATATTTTACTATAAATTTGCTTCCATTATTCTAATTTAAACAACTAAAAATCATTGGGCTAAAACTCTCTCTCAATCCAAAAAGAAAGAAAAGCCCGTGACAGAATTGTCACTGACTGGTGGCCGGTCCACGTGAAACCCTGACCTGAGAGTGGACTTACCGTTTCCTTCAGGAGCCTGTCTTGCAGCATTTTCATGTTTTCTTTCATTGAACACATCTATAAATACATATTTCATCTATGAAATTTACTGTACAATTTTCACAGCAAAGAGGTATTGAGAGAGATGATATATCAACGTGTAAAAGCTGGTACCTCAGATGTAAAAACAGTGTCTTCGTAATCAGTGTTGTAGAAGACATTTTTGTCCAGTGACGCTTTCAAAAGATGAAGCCTAACAAAAGGAGTTACCTTTGTAGTTATTTTAAATTGCTATAATATAGTGATTCGATTTTTAGATTAAAAATTAAAAATGTATAAAGAACATCACACTAACCTCTGCTGTTCACTTTTTTGATAGGCATTGAACTTCTGAAATGTCTTCTTCCAGAAATCCTAAATTTTAAAATACAAAAATTAACTCTTGGAGAATTACTATATTCCTAATTTAAATAAACAATGTGGCTATATGTTAAGCATATTCTAGATATTATACACTCTCTCTCAGGGTTTTCCCCTTATTATCAAAGGTATTTATCATAAGCTTCAGTCTACAAGTGTGTGTATATGAAATCTAAAATTATTTTCTCAAGAACAAAAAGTCTTCCCGAGTGTAGCTCTTTAAAAAAGTTTTTAAAAGCACAAACCACAAACTCCTTCTCCAAATCTTTTAAAGACTGTGAATCTTTTTCAAAATTCTCCAGCTCCTCTATGATAATGAATTGGAACTTATCAAGTTTTTTGATCCTATTAAAGAAACAAAATGAGGTTATTTTTGTAAACTATAGCATTCAGAAGATTTCAAAAGAGGTTTTTATTACAGACCTATACTCCTGAATCTGATGGTTCATTGTGTTCAGATGTTGTTGAGCTGTTTTCCAAGATTGCTTAGTAAAATAATCCATCATTTTTTGGCGGATCTGAAAAATACTAATTTTTAACTTGAAGACCCTTTACAAAATAATCTAACCCAGGCTATGTTAAGAACAAAGGCTTTACCATGTGAATGACTAAGAACTCAGAAAAGTAACAAATGAAGAACTTGGTGATTTAAATCCAAGTGTTAATTAGCTCAGTCAGAGCAGCATCTGGTTCCATCAAGAAGGTTTTGACTAAGGGTTTAATTGATCATTGTTTTTGTAAAGACACCACTGTCTACAGTATCTACAAAAAAGCTACTGATTATAATTCTCTTCAGGAACAGAGCCTAAAAATAACGCTCACTCAGAATTACCATCTTCCATGAAAACATATTTGCTAGATCTAGCCAGATGCACAACAGAATATATAAATCAGGGCTTCTCTGTTTAGACTAGGTTGACCTTTGATAATTAAAATAAAATATACAAATTCTTAGTTTCAGAGAGAAGAAAAAGACAAGGAAGAGATGGGACTGATGATAAAAGATTTTTTTCTGTAAAGTTAACAGCAGGCAAAGAGAACTAAACACAGGCATGTGAATTAAAAATTGTTCTAGAAAGTATTTTTGTAAACATCACCTCACTGGAGCCTCAGCAGCTAAGGCTCCGCAGGCGTGCAGACCTGGTGACACAGAATGAGAGGGGCTGCGTCCTTTACGCTCTGTGATGGCGCCCTCTCTAGAAGTCCTCTCTGTGCCATAAAGAGAGGCATGAAAATTGTTCAGAAAAAAAGAAAAATCATGCCAAGAGTCCAAATGGTAAACAAATTGAAAAGGGAAATAAGACAAAGAGAAAGAATCTAGCAAAAGAAAGAATATGGATAACAGACAAATTTTTGAAGAGAAACCTGGCTCCTAAGACAAATCATTCCACTTTTCACCAGTCCATGAGGACCAAGGGAGTTAACAAATGGGTATTTTGTTGCCAAAGGATCAACCCAGCTGATAGACTAGGAGAAAGCTAGTATCTTAGCACACTTCTGGGTGTAAATCATAATTTAATGAATGGTAACTCACATGGAACTTCCTTCTAAATTCTGTGTCGAGGCTCTCGCACACCACCCCTAGTCCTGAGATCTCACTTTCCCAGCTCTCCCCACGGACAGAAAAGTCATTTGTTGATAATGGAGATACACTTCCAGACACTAAAAAGCGAAGACAATCAGGTAAAGTTAAAATATGCATTATTACAAATTTAGTCTGAAGTTAAACTTCATGCAGTTTAGAAGTCTCATGAAGCTGAGAACAAAATCTTATTTTCACATTCTATGTATGATCTAAGAATGACATAAAAGACCTATTTTTCAATTTAAAAATATTTTGATTTCTAAAAAATCTTCTTGGCAATGGTAACATTGGGATGGAACATTTTTGGACTGATTATTTTTTAACTATTTCCATGTTAATAACCAAATATTTAATGACACACCAATCTCTCAGTAAATTTATATTCCAGTAAAGCTTATATGTGGTAATCAATAACAGAAGGAGATTTATGGGTACAAACAGACCCTTACTGCCATATTTTTCACATAAAGTGAACTTTGTGATAAAGCATTCTTATTAGACTGATCCAGAATTCTCTTTACAGAGGGGATTTTTTTGTGGATCATTCATGATCTAAGAAACCATGTTCCACAATAATTGCATTTTGACAAAGGCATCTGATCTACCTACCTTTGTAAGTGTGATGATCTCTATCTTCGGTTTTAGACAGTTTTTTGGGAAGCAAGTATACTCTCCCTTCCTCCTCTTCTTCCAACTGTATTTCATCAGCATTACTTAGATTATCTTCTATGTACATTCGTTTGCGACTGAGATGCTGTGTAGGGCCTTAGGTACAGTTAAAAAACAAGAGTGCTACAATCTTGATTAAAAATACCTAATAATTGTCTTGCTTTTATTAAAAGAAAGGCTTTCAGTTATTTGTTTTTAGGCAACTGTGCATTAAGTTCTATTTTCCATTTGACATTAATTAAACTGAATAAATTTTATGACTTCAACTAGAATTCCTTTAGATGCACAGTAGTTCAGTAATACTGTTTTTAAAGCAGTGTAGGACTACAAACCTGACACATGAGGAGAGTCACAAGGCATGTCACACCATATTTGCTCTCTTCCTTCACTAGACAGGGACAGTGGAGATGCGGAATGACTTCCCTAAAACAGATATTAACAATTGGAAACAAATTCTGTAAGTGCTCTTGGCTTCGCCTTTGACCATCTTTCTCAAACCCTAAAGCAAGGGAATTGCAAACGGGGTCCATTCCTTTTTCAGATAGTTTCGTTTATATCCCTTCCTGTGCATCTCTAACACAACCACACATTAATGAAAATTCCTCTGTTCACTTCAATCCTAAATTACAGCAATAGTTTTCAGCTGGCTTTTTCAACTATTCTTCCTTAGTAGGATTTTGATTTCTTTGAGTCAGGGAATGGGAAGCCATACAAAAGTCTAAACTCTTCTTTCAACCTGCATTTCAGCCACACCTTTTCATTTAACCTGGTGTTTTCCTATTTCAGTACGCAAGTTTCTCCATTCCAGTCAAATGAGTCATTTTCCTATTCCATGAAAATGCATGCCCACTCCAGTTGCCTTCCTTTACTTATCAGGTAGTAGATCCAGACCAAGCAGAGAAGGAACAGAAGCCTATCTACTGAGCTGGAGGTCAAGCCCTCCCCAAGCTATAAAATTTTGCCTTACCGTTCTGCGTTTTACAGGTTATTACAATATTTTTGATGATGAACTGATGGACTGCTACAGTGGCACAAAGCTCAACCAAATTTCTATATAATGAAACCAGAAAGTCCCAGTTATATTCAGCAGCTATATCCTCACTATTTAAGACCTTACAACTTCTCATTTAAAAAATTTCAACTTTTTTCCATGATCAAACCATCCTGCATACTTTAAACATCAGATTTTCAGCAACAGTTAAAAATATTAAAATATAGTTATTAAAAGCCAGTAATCTGATTCTTGTAAGAACAATCTTAGTTTAAGTTGGATGGTTATACTACCCTTTAAACCTCTACTGCTTTGTATCGGATTTTCATTGTTGTTTGCAAGTTCAACTTCCATCAACTTTTTTCTGAACTATAAATATTGCTTACATCTGAGTAGCTGTTGTAATTGTATCTTGTGTAAGTACCACAGAATTTATATTTTTTCCATTCACAACAGGATTATTAATTGGAGTATGCCTGGGCTATGAATGAACAAGACATATGCAAGCCCAAAGGAAATTAGAAAATTATTTAAAGCCAAAACACAACAATATGAAACCAAAACTATTTGTGTTTTGAGGGAATAATTCATTTGCTGCTAAAATTCAACACCCATTCACAATTAAAGGGGAAAAAATCCTTAGACAACTAAAACATTGATTTGATAAAAGTAACCACCAAAAACTACGGAATAAGCACGCCTACTGGTATGGTATCTAGTTAACACTGCCCCTGAGGTCATCATCACCTTAACAATAAAAAACTTAAGTATAAGGACTGGAATGGAAAATGCAAAAATTATCATTGAGTAATTGCCTATATTCAAAATCCAAGAGGCCCTAGGCAGGGAATTATGATAGAATTAGTCTAGGTAGTTGGGGATGTAAAAATCAATAGTGTTTCTATACAAAAGCAAAAAACCCAGAAAATTGTTTTTTTAATACAGAAAAAGGAAAATACATAAAACACAGGAATTAATCTGTTTTCTTTGTGGAAGATTTGGCATAATTTTGTTGGAAATAGCACCAAAATGTAGAAAGAAAAATATGTGGACGAGAAAGCTCAGTATCAATATTGGAAAATGGCAATTCCCTTAGACAAACTGCACAACTTACATGAATGAGCAGCGGGCCAAGAATGAGGGCGGGGCGGGGCGGTGAAGCACCCTGTAAGGGCCTACTGAGGGCGTGGCTTCAGGACAGAGAGCCCGCCCCCCAGCTGTGCCCCCCTTGCCAGGGCTGTGCCCAGAAGAGCACTGCAAACGATGGAGACAGGAGGGTACCTCACGCATGATGCTGCACTAACTCGCTACCCCAGGGCAAAGAGAAATCCTAGAAAAATTGAAAACCTTCAAGGTAAAAGGAATCAAAACCAGTATTTTTACCAGAAAGGAATATGACAGTAGCTGAGGGATTTGTTGAACACAGAGACTGGTAAATTTTATGGTATCATTTTTTTTGGTCATATGGAAGTTTTTTATTTAAGTGAAAAGATAACATACTGGAAAAAGAATGTTTTCATTGTATGTAACCAATACAGAATTAATATCTAGAATATTTTAAGAACTCCTGCAAATTTATAAGAAAAATCAGAGGATGCAATTAAAAAATTAGAAAAAAAATAGGCAATTCAGAAACCAGCCAAAAAACATGAAATACTGATGCTGTTAATCAGTAAAATGCAGATTAAAGTTCCTCACTGGGGCGCCTGGGTGGCTCAGTCGTTAAGCGACTGCCTTCCGCTCAGGTCATGATCCCAGAGTCCTGGGATCAAGCTCCGTATCGGGCTCCCTGCTCAGTGGGGAGTCTGCTTCTCCCTCTCCCTCTCCCCCTGCCTCTCTCCCTGCTCATGCTCTCTCTCTATCTCTGTGTCTCAAATGAATAAATAAAATCTTAAAAAAAATAAAGTTCCTCACTATAATTATAGATTGGCAAAAAGAGAACCATCTGGAAACAGCCAGTTAAAACTGTAGAGAAATGGGCACTATCACATAGCAGTGTTGGAGTGTAAGCTGATATAGCAAATTTCTAATATCTAAAAGTCAACAGTAAATGGGAAACAAATGGCCAATAAGTATGTGACCATTAAAATTCCAACTAGCACCGAGTAGCATAAAAGAAAGTGGGCGGGGGATTATCTAGGTTTTGAGATTTGCAAGATGGAATACTGAGGGGAGAAAGGGTTCAGGGAAACCAAGGATAGTAGAGCAATACTGACAAAGGCTGGTGGGATGATGACCTAGGAGGAAACTGGTGTTCAAACTGTGGTCTGTAGAAACTGAGTCTTGCAAAGGTGCCATGGGGTTACTGGGGAGGGAGGCCAAGTAGGCTAGGGTGCAGACCTCCGGCTTTAAATAGTGTAGCTCTATTTTTATTTGTTTGGCACATTGGTGCTTTCATGAGAGATTTTGTTAGAAAAATATGCTCTGTGAAGACTACTTGCTAAACAGAATAAAAGGAGCCTAAAAGCCTGTAGGAATAGAAACATTCAGTTCAAAATGGTAAGACAGAAGTTTGGTTTAGAGATTTTAGACCGTGGCTGTAGGTGTACTGAACTCTCATTAATTCCATCTCTGTGTACAGAGGTTAGTACATAACAAGAGAATAATGTATTTGGGTATTTACTACGTGTCGGGTAGTAATGGGTGCGCAATCAGACTAATTTTTCATGGCCCCACCGTGCAGATGAGAAAACTGAGGTGCAGGGGGACTCATTAACTTATAAAATGTTATACAGTCAGTAAAGAGTGGAGCCAGGATTTAAATGCGAATCTGTCTGACTCGAAACTCTTTCTACTATACCCGGTTATAGTAAACTATATTATCCTGGCAGTCAGTTCTATAACTTTATTACTGCTTTAAAATTCTCTAATTTAAGCCACTTATACAACCCAAGTCAAAAAAAAAAAAAAAAAAGGGAGAGGAGGTGGGGTGGGGTTTGAAAACTGGTACCGAAGTACCCACAACTTAAAACTATTCCTTGTAGGCATGACAGTTTTAGTTACCCTCCCTCACTCTGACCGTAATTGACTCCTATATCTTTAATGTCTTTTTACAATCCTTGTGAACATACCTACATATTAAGAAAAAATGGTACAGGGGCGCCTGGGTGGCTCAGGCGGTTAAGCGCCTGCCTTCGGCTCAGGTCATGATCCCAGGGTCCTGGGATCGAGCCCCACGTCAGGCTCCCTGCTCAGTGGAGAGCATGCTTCTTCCTCTCCCTCTCCCTGCTGTTCTGCCTACTTGTGCTCTCTCTCTCTGTGTCAAATAAATAAATAAAATCTTAAAAAAAAATGGTACATATAACAATATACAAAAGAGGAAGGATAATTTTTCATGTATCATTAAATTTGTTAATACTCCTTCATGAACTACGTGATTTGGACGTATAGACAAGTGAGTGGTGCCACCGTGGGGGTGATCATCGCTATCCCAATACTCCTAGTAGCACTCAGTACCTCCCATACCACACATCCTTCCTCCCGTAGAGCTACTCATTAATCTAGAAGGTTCATGGAGGCTATTTTACTTATCAGTAGGTTATTCTTCTCCCGCAGACCAAACCCAGAACTCTATGTTAGGTGGATAAGCAATGTATATTTGATTAAGATAAGAGGCAAATGATTTACCCCCTTCAGATATATCTGATAAAGGAAAAAAATAATGTATATTCTTACCAACAAGAAGGATTGTGGAATTGGCGAGCAACTTTCTCTTGCACATAAATTTCTGTCACTGTTTTTAGGCGACTTTTTTGGACCTCCAACTCTGTATTTACTGCCTAAGGATTCAGGTGATGAAGTTTTTGGAGAAGGTGATAGGGATTTTGTTACATGGCCATAATCCTGAGGAACATCCCTTTCTCTTTTCTCTGTACCTGTATTGCCTCACAAAACACAAAAAACAGATGACAGGTGTTATCACTGGTGTCTGCTTCAGAAATAGTACGATTAAATTCTAAGAATATAATGATTAATCAAATCCTCAAATCTTAATCTGTATTTAAAAAGGTAAATGTTTAATAAATCAAGACCAAATTTGTAAGACTCTGAAAAATATAGTTTAATTTAAAATGTAATCATAAGAACTATGGTATGAACTGCTCTGTGATGATCAGCCTAAGTATTATCTTGAGTATTTTGACATCATAGCCAATATAGTCAAATAGTAAAGTCACAGAATTTTCTGGTTGGAGATGGCTTGGGAAATCATCTTATCTACATCCTTCATATATAGCTGAGGAAATTCATAGCCAAAATAAGTCTTTGTATAAATGAATTCTCAAAGAGTTTTCAGGTCGAATAAGGGCATGTGCATCTGTCTTCTAGTATGTGGTTATCTGACATGTCAGTGGTCCTGAGTACTACGAAAATATTCTAGAAAAGAACAATATAGCTACTTTGGAGGAAGTATATGTTAACTTATTTAAATCCTGAATTTTAACTGAAAAGATGAATACTTGGAAATGCTTTAAAATATCCTTAAAAGGAAGTAAAGAAGATAAAAAGTACAGACTTACAGTTTCTATGCTGGAAAAGTGTGTGTGTGTGTGTGTGTGTGTGTGTGTGTGTACACCAGAGCTCCAAAGAATATAAATTTTTGTCAGTTATTTTTAAATAAAAGTAAACCTCAAATCATGAAGATAATCTGCTATGGGTCCACAGAATGACCATGATATTCCTTGGAGACTTTTGTCAATGAAATGTAAAAAAAAAAAAAAAAAAAAGTAGAAATCCCCATCTTTATTTTCATGTTATTAAATATATTTGGGGATTAAAAACCTAAAAGTTTATTCAGCTTTCACATTATAATTTGTAAATATACATTAAATATTTTCCATACCGAAGCATTTGATCTTTAACTTCCTATCATGAAAGACGAGTGTCACAGGGACATTGTCCCGAAGTCTATTTCGCAAAGACCAAGTTACCAGCATTAACTAGTTCAAAAAATGAAGTTTTGACTACCTATAATTCTGAAGGGCATATTTAAGATTAATCTTCAAACTGTATTTTCAGAGTCATAATAGAAATTTATTGAATATTTAAAAGAAAAAATGATACTGACATCTCATTACTTCTATAGATGATGGGCTCCCAGATAAGGATATAGGAGATAAGCCAAGGCTATTATCCCTTATAGCATCTTTTAGGAGAGATGAATTTTTCCATTCTTTTGATACATCCTTTTGTGTTTCAGCAGAGAAGGTGTTCTGTTGTTTCTTTGAAAGCTTCATGGTTTTGCTTCTGGAATGGATATTCTCCTCCTAAATGTATTGATAACTTTCAAATCATACTTGAATACAAATAATTTATACTTAGACACATAAAACAAATTGTGCTGAAATACTAAATATCTGCTATTACTATTTACAGGCATAACAGGGGCCTCAACATGAGTAGTGAAGGGCTTTCTAATATATTAGAAGACATATGACAAATTCACAGGAAAATATAATATATGGACTATAATAGCTTAAGAAATACAAACAAAATGCTGTAAGGAGAAAATTATATTCAGTTTGGGGAAACCAGAAAGAGTTCCTGGATTTCACGGTACATGACATGCTTCGGAGTTGTAAAGGCAGACGGTGAAGGAAGACCTCCGAAGGCCAGGGGAGACCCCGGAGAGAGCACAGGAAGTGGAGAGTCACGGGTCTCACTGGGTATTATGTGTTGCCAAAGCGAGCACATCACAGGTCCCGTTTGGGAGTCACAGGATACTCCATCTGTTTCAGCTCTGGGTATATACCAGGGAACTAGGGAAATGAGCTTGCAGAGGTATTCTGATGCACTGAATATTTCACTATATGGAGATTTTCAGGGTTTTTCTTTGAAGAGGGATAAGAGGAGAGAGGGCTTGGGAAGACTTAGCCAGCTATATGTACAGTAAATGAAAGTAAGAAGTGATAGAAAATGTGGAGATACGTTATAAAGTCCTTAAAGTCTTCCAAGTAAAGGGCAGCAAGGTTATGAACAGGGGAGGTGGAAGTTCAATGCTGGGAAATGAGAACAGTGTACCTTTCTCTCTCTGAGCCTCAATCCCTCATTTGTAAAATGAGATGTCGACAGAGTACTAGTCACCTATGGTACTTCAGAGATTGTAAGAAGTTAAGTTAGCATAGCACCTGGCCCACTGTAAGCACTGGGTTGTTGTTGTTTTGTTTTGTTTTTGACTTTGTTAAAAAAGCTTTAAAGCACAGATGGTTATTGATACGTCGGTAACATCACAAGACAGAAACCAGGGATGGACACAGGTGGGCAGTGTATGGGAAGAACCTCAGGTCCATTCGAGAGAAAGATTCACAGCTTCCCAACAGTCTGTACTTTTCTGAAGTAAAATTTTGGAAAAATCAAGCATTTTTCTAATTTAAAGATATTATCTTCAAGTTATCATTTTCCCAGAGTCAAACACCTGTTTTGGAACACTAATGCCAACTTACCACAAATACTGCCTAAAGATCAATTTTCAGTCTATAAAATTTCTCATATAGAAGGTTAAATCTTAAAATGTGACAAATTTGACATTTCTGCAAAAATATATTCTATATTTAGTATTTTCACAGGCTTTTCAGAAATTATTAACCTGAATTGTATCTATTTACCTTTACTAGCAATTTCTCTTTAAACGAATGTGAAAATTCTTGTTCACTCTCTGATTCTGAATTTGAAAGATCTTTATAATTTTTTTTGGTTTTTGCCACTCTTCGTGGAAGTCTGGTTCTCCCATCTGGAACTGTCTCCTCTACCTTTTTGGTGATGTTTTTGTTGGGTGTCTTTAGGAGAAAAATTTCTGAATTATTAGGTCAATATTTGAGATATAAGAAATACAAGCTATTTTCTATAAAATTGGCACTGTGACAAGAAATTCATAAAATATTTGTAGGAATAAAAAAGATTCTTAACATTTTTAAAAGACAGGATTTTATCTTTCTGCCCAAATATCTTCTCTATACCTTTTTTTTATCCCTGTCATTAAAGCTCTGGGAGGCCTGGTATATATTACCTAACTTACATAAAAAAAGAGAAGGAGAGGAAAAAAGAGAAGCGGAGATATGAAAAGTTCCTAAAACCACAGAGTAAAATAGACCTAAAACAGGCCAACATGATCCAAAAAGGCAGAAGGTAGGAGGACGCATGCAAAGGTGAGAACAATTATGGAAAAACAAGTAACAATAAGGATAAAATTATGAGATGAAAAATGAATTTTTTTACATGACAAAAGAGAAATCATTTTAGAGTGATGTTTGAAGACAAGCTTCTTGGCTTTACCACTTTAGGTCTTGGCTGTCCCCTTTCTAAAGATGCTTCTGCAATTCAAGAAAATAAGGTTTTCAAATAGGTAAGAACTGGAATTAAAATTTATTAGAATATTTTACATAGAAGTAAAAATCATAACAAGAATATATCTTTAAACTCATTCAAAAATTTAAATTACAAGAGATTTGAGGCTAAATTGACATTGATAACTTTATAATGTTTGGTAGGATACGAATTACCAGTTTCCTTTCTCCTCCTTTACATCCTAAAACTTTTTAAACATGCAAGAGAATACGTGAGTTACAAAGTGAACACCTATATACATCTAACATTCAGTTTAAGAGCTGGATTATGAAAAGTTATGTACCTATTTATGTGTATTCTCTATGATGCTCAATATCCCCTCTGCCAAAAGGGAATATTTTCATTATCCTGAATTATTTCTCATTCATTTGGTCTTAAAGAAAGTTTTACTTCACATATATCCCTAAATATAGTGAACTTTATAAGATAGTATCATCTCATAGGTAACATTCTATGATCTGCTTTTCACCATTGTTTCTAAGATTCATCCATATTGCTGAGAATAGCTTTAGTTTCTATTCCCTTTTTTGCCTTTCAAGCACAATCAACTTTCTAAATATTCTCTGAAACCTAAGAAATGGGATTATCCAAGCCAAGGAAGCAATGAAGTTCTGGGAGAAAGATCTTCCAATCCTGGCAATAAGCCAGCCCCTACATATTGACTTGTAGTCATTCAGCCATTTAAACGATTCACTCGCAAGTTCAATTTTAAGAAGTATTTACTGATGACAGTATTCTACTCTCTGTTACAAACGACTGTAAACTCCCTGAGAGCATGTGAATCTTATGTTTCCCCTTGGCTTAGAACACACTGCTTCAAAGTCGAGACACGTCACCAGATGCAGTACATCTTTCAGCATCTTCCCACAAGTGTGATCTGTGTTCCAAGTACCCCAATACTGCACTCCCTGCACTAGCAATGTGATGCTCTTTCAGACTTGTCTCTTCTATAGGTGATAATACTGCTGCTTCTCTTCCTCATATATAGGATAGGCTTCATCTGATTTCTGTTTTCAAGATTCAGCCTCATTTACGAACACATGCCAACCTTCATTTCCATATTTCTATTTTTACTTCTGTCTTAAGCCATCACTGGTCCCCCCAACACAAGCACAAATGTTATGACTGGTTATTCTTATGCTGACATAAAAAAGCTGATTCCCTTAAAGTATGTATCAATTTAAAAGTTGATTCCCTTAAAATACATATCAATTTAAAAGTTCAGAGTTATGTTGTCTTCTTTTAAAAATGAAATATATGAAATCTTTGTTTTAGTAAACAATCCCGGAAAATGGTCATTTTTTGGTCTAGCTAAAAACCCATACTGCAAACTCTTATCCAGCTACTTCAAGAGGGTCACTAGACAAAGCAGAAGCCATATGCTGGGAAGATAATCTGTGGAAGATTTAGGCAAAAATATTTCTGCAAGAAAATTGTTTTCCTTACAGTATATCTTTATATGAATTCTATGTGAATTCCTAAAAAGTATATGGGTTGGGTATGACAGGAAATGGGATGTGCAAGATTTGATTTTTTGCTTAGAGTGTTGGTTTCATGAATACTTAATAATATATCATTCACGATAATTGCTAAATAACTGAATAACAGCCATGAGTAGACAAACGATGAGAGTATGCATGAACTGAAAATATGACAATCATATTTTGTGTCTCTAAGACCCCAGTAAAAAAATAATTTATATATAACCATATTACTAAAAATAATAAAACAAAAAACAAAACCACTGTAGTGCTGTGGTGTATTTGCTCTTTTTTTCTATTCACAAGGCTATGTAGGTATAAATACTAACTACATATACAAATATACTTATCAACCAACAAAACATTTCATATAGTTGAAATGGTAAAATCATTTGCAACATTTCTCTAAAAGTGATTTCTTACTTGATTTCCCACTTTTAGGTTTCTTCACATTTTTATTTCTGCTATAGTCTATTAGCTGTGGTTTTGATTTTGGTTCCTTTAGCCAGCTAACATCAGTCTTACTGTCATCACATCTGTATTCTGCGTCAGTATCACTAAAGAGATTTTTCTTTTTAGGATTTGTTACAGTCTATAAAAAAAAAAAGAATCCTTGTAATAGATGAAGAAATGTGTCTCATTATATACTATGCAAGGTAAATTAAGCCAAAAAAAAAAAAAAAAAACAACCCCAAGGAACAGAAAAACTAACTTCTTAATTTTTTGGCATACTAATTTACCTGGCATTAAGGAAAACATACCTGGAAAGTCACTCAGAAATCCAGATCAGAGACTGAGATTCTTAATTTGTTGTTGTTAAAACCACTTATGACCACAGGGACATAAGCCAATGTCATTAAAGAAGGTAACTAAAGCCATCATATCTTTTCTTACTAGATGATTGCAAATAGCTCAGAGACCATGCCAAGGTCATAGCAGGCAAGTGGATAATCTCACAGAGGGGGAAAAAAATCCAAATAATTGTTTTCTAGATCTGTGATCATCTTTGGCATTGGAAAATTATTTTTAAAATAATTAGGATATAACTTACTCTTTTATCTTTTGTTTTGAGAGAAGTTTCAAGTTCATCATGATTCCTTAAACCTATCCTTAAACAAAAATATGCATTAATTTTAATTAACTTTATTATTTGCTCTCTTAAGGTAACATACACCGGACAGTCAGACCGGGGTTTTCAGCCTTGTTCTTCTACTAATTCACTATATAATTCTGGCCAAGTTGCTTATGCTCTTTGACCTCAGTTAATTGTAAAAATAACAAGATCAGATGAAAGGACTAAGTCCTTTCAGCTTTGTCATCTAAGAGACACAACTAATATTAAAAGTACATAGAATCTGCATATTAATTTTAGAAGCAAAGGCTGAAATATTAGAAATATAATGGGGGTGATCATGCCAGTAGCATTTTTATTCATTCTTCTCATATGTTAAAAACTCTCAAACTGGGAGGAAATATTGAAGAAAAAGAACAATTGAGAAGTTTATTTTAATTTGATCCATCTAATTATAATAAAAGCACCTACAATTTTATTGAATTATCCACACAGGCTTCTGTAGCTGTAGCTTGAAATTCCTGGATCTATATTGTGAATAAACATTAAAAATTTCTTCTTAGTGTTGAAATAAGGCAAACAAAAATAAAAAAAAAATAAACATAAAATCTGGTTTCTATTACTTCCTATCATAAGATGCATCTAATAAAATTAATTTTACTAAAATATTTTTATATATTTAAGAAGAAAGCGAATACTATAAAATATAATAAAAACAAAATAAATAGATTTTAAAATTTCTTGTATCAAGAAGGAAGGTGATTTTCTTAATGTAGTAGTGTGAGTCCCCCCATACCCCAATTACCCATTTTTCTCTACTTCAGTCCAAAGGATTTGAAAGGAAACCAAATATACCTAAGTTCGTGCCAAATAAATTCTAAAATATTTTAAAGCATATCTATAAGAGAATGAAAACCAAAAAACACACTGTAATAACTATACAGTGAATACAAAATAAATACTAAATACAAAATACTGATTTCTAGCTTACTCCAAGTTTTATAATAGGCTCATCAGCTCCATTCAAATTAAAATTGTAAACATCATTCCTGTAAAAATGAAGAGAAATATTAACTCCATTATATAATAAATTTTCTTCAAATATGAATCAAACTAAGATCTATGGAAAATTACTTACAATGGGCATTCAGAAGTAACATTAACAAGAGTAGTCTTCAGTTGTCTATAACTTTTTTTCTGAACCTTTTCCTAAATGCAAAAGAAGTTTATATAACATTCAAACTTGTACATTAGTATACTTGGCAAACAAACATATGCAATTATATTTTCATATATTTTCTACTTGTTTCTACTCATGTTTTACATCTGTAACCATTTCCTTTAATGTAAACTGAATAAAAGTATTAAACATCCACACCTATAAAAATTTTGAAGACTTTAAGTACTAAGAGCATAATTGAAAGTACTGTAAATCAAATATAAAATGTAAATATAAGATATAAAATTAAATATAAAATGTAAACATAAAATTAAATATAAAAGATAGATTAAATATAAAATATAAAATCTAAGAGCATAATTGAAAGGACTGTAAATTACATCTTTATTTGCAGACACTCCTGTACGTATACGTAGGTAAATGCTATTCTACAAGCTGAACCTTAGTGATTTTAGAATCACAAAACAAGCATGCTTTTTTCCCCTGATTCATTTGCTTTAAAGTCGTAAATACAAAAACCTGGGGAGAGACTAAGGTTTATGTAAAATCACTATTAATATCACTAAATGACTGATTACTGAACAGAAATACTCTGAAGTCTAATAAGTTGGAAATATTAAAACTATTCATTTTAGTTGTTATTCATATTAAATTTTATTACATATTTTGGCTGTTTTATATATTTTGTATTATTTCAAAAAGTTTATCCCTTAATATATTATTCCTCTGATCACTTATCTCCATTATCCTTTCCAATAGGATTTTTACCAGCATTTACATACACCTGTTCAATTCATCTACTGTGTGCTAGCATGTGTTAGGTATTACAGAAGACACCAAAAATAAGCCAAAATATTAAAAAGGACACAAAAGGGAGCGAAAGTGTTATATAAGATACAGCGATGATTCTAAGCAGACACATGCTAATAGAAGACACAGGAAAGATAAAAAGAACTGCAACAGTGAGTAAAATATCAAAAAATGGTACAAAGAAATCAGGTGTGTAGATTCAGAATTCTTGCCCATTTGGATTTTGAGGCAGGACACCTTGGAAGTTTTTAAAAAGAAGGCAGACTCTGAAGCAAGACTTGCAAGGAGGAATCAAGTTTTGATGACCAGAAAAGAGTGTGAGAGCATGCTGACTCAGTTCAAATTTTTTTCTGAAGAGGGGAAGAAGAAGAGAATAAACACTTGGGAAAGACACTTCAGGGAATCTCAAGTTCTTCTGCTTCAGCAAAAGGAGACATGCATAGGGAGCTAATACTAGGAAATGAAGATGGACTTTTCAAAGGGTCCAGGAAGCCAGCCTGAGTCTCCACTTAGTAAGCAACAGGGACCAAAGAAGGAATTGGAACAAGAGAATGGCCTGAGTGGAGCTTTAAAAAGAAAAAAAGCTCGTAGTGAAGAGAATGACAGGCTGGCAAGAGAAATACTAGAGGCAAAAAGAATTACATAAAAGCTATTGCAATAATCTAGGGACGAGAAATTAGAACTCAAACTAGGAAAAATGAGTTGCACAGGCAGCAGAGGGGAGATTTAAGAGGAACATACAGAAGGTGAACCTCAAAACTTGAAATTAAATGGAAAGTAATTGTGAAGAAGAAATCAAAGATAATTGGTATTTTAAGCCTGAATAAATAGTAATTTTTTTAAACAAAAAACAGAGACTTAAGGATCTTATTGTCAGAGGAGATGGGATTAACTAGGAAAAAAAAATGAAGATAAAGATTCACTGAATCAGGTACCAGAAAATGAAAAGATCACACTCACATATGGAAAAGAAACATTGCTTTTTGAAAAGCCGAACAGAAAGAGGACTATTTTGAGTGGTTGCCACTAAACTTGTCGGTTGTTTATCCATTTATCAACATGCTGAAAACACTAATTCCACCCTATACTGCGATTCTATTTTATGTTTACAGTCAAATATCATAGAGAGTTTGACTATACATTTGGTGTATTTAAATAAATGAAACCTACCTTACTGAGCTGTAGATCAGATTTGTTTGAAAAACCACTATAAGAAAGGTTTTGTCAAAATTAAAAAAGCAATTCAGTATTAGAATATTCTTCATAAAAGCCTTTTTATATAAGGTAAAACATTTGGGTCACTAAGTTTACATTCAATATGCTATAAATATAAATATAAATATTTTTGCAACTTCACTTGTAGTAAATAGCAACACTAACTGTTAATAAGCTGAATCACTCATGCAGTAGGAGGTGCTCAGCAATTGGAAATGAATGGTTCTGCCGGGAGAAATTGTTTTGTGTCTTATCATAAGGCCAGAATTAATTTAAATATGAACTAACCACCAATCAACCTGTAAAGAAACATTTTACAATAAGAAAAGAACTAACCTTCAGAAAGACTGCCAATGAAAAAATACATATTTACTATATAAAAGTAACTCATTTCAGCTCATTTAAATCATGTTTCATTAAGCAATATATTTAAATATATTTAGTTTTACTCATCACTAGGCTCAGTAAAAATCTTAAAATGTCTATATCCTAAAGATTTATTTACAAAATGGTATGCTGTATCAATATGGTATTTTTGATACTTTATAAAATGTAATAATCACCTACTACAATGACTAATTTCAAAGTCAGTTCCCTTCCTGTATAATTTAAACAGCTACTGTTTTTAAAAGTAAATAACTAGGTGTTTTCTACTGGAAAATTGTGTAACTTGAACATGTTCAAAACTAACCTTCTTAAAATGGTGTAAAATAATTTAGTTGTATCTGTCAGAAAAAAATTTATGTCTAAAGTTTAAGAACATACCTGTCAATCAAAGACTCCTTGAATTTTCTTGTAGACTCCTTTGGTTTATACCTCTTATTAATTTGGTTTATCAAGGATTCTGCTGCATCAGTAAATCCTTTCTCTTTTGACTTTCCTCTCTGAAACAATTTATAAGTTACTTTAAAGCTCTACCAGTAATCCTTCAAAGGAAAATAAAGGAACAGTTAAGAAAAATCTGGTTCTGTATATAACTACAAAGAGAAATAAAGGAGGTAAGAAATTATTTAGGAAGTCTGGACTTTGTTAGGTATTAAACAACACAGGGTAAGATTTAACAGTTTACAGAATGGTGCAGAGTGCTCTGTAGAGAACAAAATAAAAATTTCTCTCCATGGGAAAAAAATCGTATCAAAAACTAAAGGAAACTACAATCTGGTTCTTCGAAAAGATCAATAAAATCAATACATCTCTAGCCAGGTTAGCTAAGGGAAAAAGAGAGAGAGAAAAGACAGAAATTACTACTATCAGAAATGAACTAGAGGCTGTCACTCTTATAGACATTAAAAGGTTAAAAAAAAGGAATATTATGAACAACTCTTTGCCCACAAATTTGATAACCTAAATCAAATGGGCCAATTCCTTGAAAGGTAAAATCTACCAGAACTCATACAAGGAGAAATAGATCATCTGAATAGGACTATATCTATTAAAGAAATTGAATCAATAATTAATACCTTCTTTTTTTTTAAGATTTTATTTATTTGTCAGAGAGACTGAGAGCACACAAGCAGGGGGAGCGTCAGGCAGAGGGAGAAGCAGGCTCCCCACTGAGCAAGAAGCCTGACACGGGACTCAATCCCAGGGTCCTGGGATCATGACCTGAGCCAAAGGCAGCTGCTAAACTGACTGAGCCACCTAGGTGTCCCTAATTAATACCTTCTAAAACAGCAAGCACCAGGCCCCAGATGGGTTTACGGGTGAGTTCTATCAAATACTTAAGGAAGAATTATACCAATTTTCCACAATCATCCAGAAGACAGAATCAGAGGGAATACTTCCTAACTCATTAAATGAAGCTAGTATCATCTTTACACCAAAATCAAAGATAATACAAGATAGGAAATAGACCTTACAGACTGCTATCTCTCATGAACATAGATAAAAAAAATCAACAAAATATTAGCAAATTGTATTCAATAATGTTTAAAAAGAATTATATACCACAACTAAATGGTATTTATTCAAGGTATGAAAGTCTGATTCAACATTTGAAAATCAATTAACATAATGTATCATACCAACAGGCTAAAGAAAAATCGTATTATCGTATCAATAGATATAAGAAAAGCATTTGAGAAAACCCAACACCCTTTCATGATAACAATTCTCAGAAAACTAGGAACAGAAGGGAATGTCTTCAGCTTAAGAACATCTTCCAAAAAAACAAAATTACATCTAACATCATACTTAATGGAGAAAAACTACATGTTTTCCCACCAAGGTCAGAAACAAGGGAAAGATGCCGGCTCTCACCACTTCTATTCAGCATCAAACTGGGAAGTCCTATGAATGCAGTAAAACAAGAGAAGGAAATAAATGGAATACAGAATGGGAAGAAATGAAACCGTCTTTGTTCGCAGATGACATCATTGTTTATGTAGAAAAAAAAATCTCAAAAAATTAACAAAAATACTCCTGGAACTAAAAAGCAAATGTGATAGCACTGCTGAAGGATATAAGATTAATATACAAAAGTTGACTGCTTTCTCATAAGCTAGTAATGAACAACCAGAGTTTGAAATTATATTCCATTTACATTAGTACTCCCCAAAATGAAATACTTAGGTATAAATCTAACAAAACACGTACAAGAGCTATACATGACTAATGAAGAACATCAAAGACTAAATAAACGGAAGGAAATTCCACATTCATTGACAGGAAGCTTAATATTGTCAAGATGTCAGTTCTTCCCAACTTGAACTACAGAGTCAATGCAATCCTAATCAAAATCTCAGCAAGTTATTTTGTAGATATCAACAGAATGATTCTACGGTGAACATGGAGAAGACAACGAGAATAGCCAATATAGTATTGAAGAACAAAGTTGGAAGATTGACACTACCATACTTTAAGACTTACTATAAAGATACAACAATCAATATAGAGTGGTATTGGTGAAATAGACAAATAGAGTAATAAAACAAAACAGAGAGCAAACAGAAAGCCCAGAAATACCCTCATTTATATAGTCAACCGATCTTTGACAAAGAAGCAAAAGCAATGCAATGGAGAAAGGACAGTCTTTTCAACAAACGATGATGGAATAACTGGACATCCACATGCTAAAAAACAAAAACAGAAAACAAAAAACAAATCTAGACACAGAAATTACACCCTTCACAAAAATTAACTCAAAAGGGATCATAAACCTAAAAGTAAAATGCAAACTATAAAACTCCTTGAAGGAGAAAATCTAGGTTGACTTTGGGTTTGGCAATGCCTTTTTATGTATAACACCAAAAGCGCAATCTATGAAAGACAAAATTGAGTAGAACGTCATCAAAATTAAAAACTTATGTTCTGTGAAAGCCACTGTTTTAAAAATAAAAAGATGAGCCATAGACAGAAAGAAAATTTTGTAAAACACGTATCTGACAAAGGACTTGTACAGACATACTGCAGAGATCCCGTGGTTTTGGTTCTAGAACACAGTGATAAAGCAAATAATGCATTAAAGTGAGTCAAATGAACTCAGTTTCCCAGCACATATAAAAGTTATGCTTACTCTATACTGTAGTCTATTAAATGTACAATAGCATTATGTCTTTTAAAAAAAAGTACATATCTTAATTAAAAAATACTTTAATGCTAAAAAATGCCAATCATCTGAGTTTTAGCAAATTGTAATCTTTTTTCTGGTAGAGGGTCTTGCCTCAGTGTTGATGCCTGCTGACTGATCAGGGTGGTGGTTGTTGAAGGCTGGGGTGGCTGTGGCAATTTCTTACAATAAGACAACAATGAAATTTGCCGCCATTGACTGACTCTTCCTTTCGTGAGTGATTTCTGTGTAGCATGCAATGCTGCTTGATGGCATTTTACCCACAGCAGAACTTCTTTCAAAATTGAAGTCAAGCCTTTCAAACCCTGCCTATGTTTATCAACTTTATGTAATATTCTAAATTCTTTGTTGTCAGTCTTCACAGCATCTCCACCATGAGTAGATTCCATCTCAAGAAACCATGGTCTTTGTTCATCCATAAGAAGCACTTCTTCATCCGTTAAAGGCTTATTATAGTGAGATCACAGCAATTCAGTCCCATCTTCAGGCTCCACTTCTAATTCTAGTTCTCCTGTTGTTTCCACCACATCTGCAGCTACTTCCTCCACTGAAGTCTTGAACCCATCAAAGTCATCCATGAGGGTTGGAATCAACTCTTCCAAACTCCTGCTAATGTTGATATTTTGACCTCTTTCCATGAATCACTAAGGTTTTTGGGGGGCGGGGGAGAAGGGAGAGAGAATCCTAAGTAAGGCTCCAAGCCCAGCGTGAAGCCCGACACGGGGCTCAACCTCATGACCCTCAGATCATGACCTGAGCCAAAATCAGAGTCGGATGCTTAACCCAATGAGTCAGCTGGGTGCCCCGTTCACAAATGTTCCTAATGGTATCTAGAATGGTGAATCCTTTCCAGAGGCTTTCAATTTAGTTTGCCCAGCTCTATCAGAGGAATCACTATCTATGGCAGCTAGAGCCTTATGATATGTATTCTTAAATAGTAAGACTTGAAAGTAAAAATTACCCTTTGATCCATGGGCTGCAGAATGGATGTTATGTTAGGAGGTATGAAAACATTAATTTCCCTGTACATCTCCATCAAAGCTCTTGAATGACCAGGAGCACTGTCAGTCAGAAGTAATATTTTAAAAAGGAATCTTTTTTTCTGAGCAGATCTCAACAGTGGGATTAAAATATATTCAGCAAACCATGTTGTAAACAGATGTGCTGTGACACAGGTTTTGCTGTTTCATTTATAGAGCACAGGCAGAGTAGATTTAGCATAATTCTTAAGGCCCCTAGGATTTTCAGAATGGTCAGTGAGCACTGGCTCTAACTTATAGTCACCAGCTGCATCAGCTCGTAACAAGAGAGTCAGCCTGTCCTTTGAAGCTCCGGTGCCAGGCACTGACTTATCTCTAGCTATAAAAGTCCTAGATGGCATCTTCTTCCAATATATGGCTCTCTTGCCTACATTGAAAATCTCTTTAGTGTAGCCACCTTCATTAATTATCTTAGCTAGATCATCTGGATAACTCGTTGCTTCACCTTGCATTTTTATGTTATGGAGATGCCTTCTTTCTCTAAACTACATGAACCAGTCTCTGCTAGCTTCAGACTTTTCTTCTGCAGCTTCTTTACCTCTCTCAGCCTTCATAAAACTGAAGAGAGTTAGGGCCTTGCTCTTAAGTGGGCTTTGGCTTAAGAGAATTTTGTGGCTGGCTTGAGCTTCTATCCAGGCCACTCAGACTTCCTCCAGAATAAAGCTGTTTCACAAGAGGCCAAGGTTTTTGCTTATATCAGCTTTCTGCATGCCTTCCTCATTAAGTTAATCATTTTTAACTTTTGACTTAAACTGAGAGATGTGTGACTCTTCCTTTCACTTGGACACTTAGAGACCCCTGTAAGGTTGTTACCTGGCCTAATCTCAATATTGTTCTGTCTCAGGGAACCGAGAGGCCTGAGGAGAGGAAGGGAGCTGTGGGAACTGCCAGGCAGTGGAGCAGTCAGAAAACACACATTACGTTTGCCCTCCTATCAGTGCGGTCATGGTGCCTCAAAAAATTACAATAATAACATCAAAGAACACTGATTACAGATCACTATAACTAATATAAAAATAATGAAAAACTTTGAAATATTATGAAAATTACCAAAATGTGACAGAGACACAAAGTTAGCAGATGTTGTTGGAAAAATGGCACCAATACATCTGCCCAATACAGGGCTGCCACAAACCTTCAATTCATAAAAACATGCAGTATCTATGAAGTGCAATAAAACATGGCATGCCTATATCTAAATTATACAAAGAACTGTTAATATTTGACAATAACAAAGAACCCAGTTAAAAAATGAGCAAAAGATCTGAACAGACAACTCACTAAAGATGACATTCAGATGGTAAATAAAAATATAAAAGGAGGCTCAAATTCATATGTCATTAGGGAATTGCAAATTAAAATGAGATGCCACTAAGCACATATAACAATAGCTAAGATCCAAGACACTGACAACACCCAATATTGGCAAGGATATAGATCAACAGGAATTCTCTCATCTGTTGCTCAGAAGGTAAAAAAGGTACAGCCATTTTTTCCACTTTGGGAAGACAGGAAGTTTCTTAATAAACTAAACACATTCTAACCATATGATCCAGCAATCATGATCCTTGGTATTTTCCCAAATGAGCTGAAAGATTATGTGCACATAAACCCTGCACAATGAACGTTTACAGAAGCTTTAGTCATAACTGTCAAACCATAGAAACCAGCTAAGATGTCCTTCCATAGGTGAACATCTAAACAAATCTTGGTACATACATATCATGGAATATTATTCAGCAGTAAGAAGAAATGAGCTGTGAAGCCATGAAAACACATGGAGTAAGCGTCATTACTATTGCTAAGTGAAAGAAGCCAATCTGAAAAGACTACATACTATATAGTTCCAACTCCATGACATTCTGGAAAAGGCAAAACTACGGAAACAGTAAAAAGATCAGTGATTGCCAGGAGTGTGAGGGGGTAGGGAGCACAGGGGAATTTTAGGGCAGTAAAACTATTATGTATGATAACGTAATAGTAAATACCTGTTGCTATACATCTATCAAAACATACAGAATACACAACACAAAGAGTGAATTCTAACCTATAGACTTTAGTTAGTAATAATGTATTGATACTGGTTCATAATTTGTAACCCATGTACCCACTGATGTAAGATGCTAATAATGGGGAAACTGGGGTGTGGGTGAAGGGGATAAGGGAACTCTCAGTGTACCTGTACACCTGAAACTGCTCTAAAAAATACTATTGTTTTAAGGGTGCCTGCCTGGCTCAGTCAGTGGAGTGTGCAACTCTTGATCTCAGGATCATGAGTTCGAGCCCCACGTTCGGTGTTGGGATTACTTAAAAAAAAAAAAAAAGGTAAAAAATACTAATACTTTAAAAATGGAAGGACTACAAACCATTATCATCTGCATAATTTTTGGTAATTTGGCTAAGAGAAAACTCCCCACAATACTCTTAAAGATATGAGTTCTCCTGATTCTAGTCATTAGTTTTACCTTTTTCTGGGAACCAGGCATTTTTTTTTTTAAATTATGGTAAAATATAATAGAAACAAAAAATTTACTTTTTTTTTTTTGCGAGTCAGAGTGGGGGTAGGGAGGGTTGGGGCAGGGGGAGAGGGAAAGAGAGAGAAAATCTCAAGCAGGCTCCATGCCCATCACAGAACCTGATGCAGGGCTTGCTCTCATGACCCTAAGATCATGACCTGAGCGGAAATCAAGAGTCAGATGCTGAAGAGACTGAGCCATCCAGGTGCCCTATTTTAATCATTTTTAAGTTTATGTTTTTATATGTAGTAGATCATTAGTTACTATTTACTGTCTTTTCTTGAGATTACTTTACTTGGCTGATAAAAATGTAGCAAAAATAGGGGCACGAGGGTGGCTCAGATGGTTAAGTGTCTGCCTTCAGCTCAGGGCATGATCTCAGGATCCTGGGATCGAGCCCCTTATCAGGCTCCTGGCTCAGCGAAGAGTTTGCTTCTCCCTCTCCCTCTGCCTCTCTCCCCTGCTCATATCCCTCTCTCTCTCTCACATGAATAAAAAAAAAAATTTAATAAAAAAATGTAGCAAAAATGAACCTTCCCTAAAATAGCGAGTGTATGATTTAAGAACTTCCAGCTAATTGGGGCCAACTTGGGAAATCTGTATCGCTGAGCTGCAGAGGTTCTGTTTCTCTGGGTTAATCTAGTGAACAGGAAACAGGATCAGATGACTACCTCAGAGGAGAGTCATCACACTGTGAATGGCAGGAAGTCACGTATGATAACACAGGGAGCAACACTATGAAAGACTGAAGAGAACTTCTGGAAACAGGAAGTTGGGCTTTAAAAAAATCAGAGCACAGTTTAGAGATGATCAGTTTTCATAATCCCAGGAAAAAACCACTGACTAGCTCAGGGAGTAATTCTAAATTCCAAAGGAAACAGTTTAAAATAAAAACTGAAGAACATTCAGCATTCAGACAAAAAGAACTTACTTCCCCTGCATCTGAAGAACTAAATAGCAGCGAAGACTAGAAAGAAAAATAGCATACTAAGAAATAAGAAAAAGTGACTCAAAAGGATTTGGTTAAAGAAGAATGTAGCCAAATCAGGCACAGAAAGTGAATTGCAGATTAAAGACAAAATAAAAAGGATGGTCAAGACGAATGAAATAATGTCTAAGTATAAACAACAATTACAAATTATCTATTAAGTATTTCATTTGCATATCGAGATGCTCCAATACATGGACATTTTACATCAACTCTATGTCCAGGTATTAATACCACTCTGGAAGATATATGAAAATAGAAGGCTATACGACCTGCATCTTCTAAGCAAGAGTGAAAAACAGATTCTATTATTGGCAGTGGAATGTATTCTAATTAAAAAGTTTTCTTAATCTGCATCTTGATAGCAATGACAAAAAAAATATTTACAGTAACTACTAAAAAAAGTAAACTTTTGGTCTAAAGCATGGTGCAGAGTAGCTAAAACTGTCCTAGAGATGTCCTACAGGTGATTACTCTGAAGGAGAAGGGAAAGGCTCCAACGGGGATGAGCAACAGGACAGCAGAAGACAGTCTCCTGCACTCCACCTACATCTTTTCCTTTTCTTTGAAAAAACCTGTCAAACTCTAATGCAATAATCCAAGAAATGGTTTCAGATGCTCCTATGTACAGAACTGAGCTAGGCCATGCAGGAAAACAAATGATGAATAAACACAGTCTTTACACTCTAACAGGCTATAACAAGGAGAAAAACAGACACAAATAACCATTTATTAAGAGAAAGGTAAGCGCCATAAGAGAGGTACGGACAGTTCTGTATACATGCTCAAAGCATCTGCCAGACAGAGTGGAAGAAAACCATTAGGAGGACACCAGGAGCTGCAGGGTGCATTCACACCACACCTCTTTACACACCTGTGGGCACACTGGTTTGGGGGTGGGGGCAGGGACTAGGGTGAGGTGAGGGATTCGGGAGGCACTCACTCTCAGACTGGAGACTTGAATTAAAGAACAAGCTCTCACAAATGTTAAATCTGCAGCAATCCATCAAGCTTCCTTCACTGTCTTATGCCATTAGGTAGGCATATTATAGGTATGCAGAAACCAAACACACTGAAAGCTCACCATTTTTTTTTGTTTCAAATCCCAGGAATTAAGTTCAGATGTTAATCTTTTCCCTGATTTTCTATGACTCTTCACATTTTTCCTAGGAGAAGGGCTTTTATCACAAATGGCAGTATTCACATCTTTTGACAGTATGTATTTCTTCCTATAGATCAGAGATTCTTCAACTGTCTTATTTAGGAGAACGGACTTAAAAGTAGTTTCAGATTCAATATGCCAATCACTTTGCTTGGTATTTTCAGTATTTTTCTGCTCCGAATGTTTAGCATGATTTAGTCGTTGCTGAGTGTCTCTTTTGCACACTCCTACTTCTGCTTTCTCTATTTTGTTATGCTGCATTTTTTTTTTCTTATACTGCACCTTTTCCGTTTCTTCAGAATTATCCTCAGATATTGAAGAGGCTGATTTTTGTTTCCTAAGTTTTTTGTTCACAGTAACATCTAGTGGAAAAATAAAAAACCAATCCTTATTAAATTAATAAACTGGTAATACAAAAATTTGTTAAAATCAAAGATATTTATCAGCCATTGCAAGAAATGAGTATTTCCCTGAGCTACTATTGTATACAGAGAAAACGGTGTTTCACCTTGATTGAATGTGTCACCTGATGAAGTATCTGCTCTTTGGTTATTACATAGATTAATATTTGTCACAGGAGTCCAGCAGGACCATTTGGAGGGCATTTTATTTCCACAGATGTTGTCCAAAACACCACGTAACCTGGAAAATAAAATAACTTGCTTAAGGTATTACAAAACATTAGCCTATGACTCTGACATGAGACCTTGATTTTTTTTTGTTTAGTCAATGTTTATTGATAGCAGTTCATTAGTCAAGTATGAAAATATTTTGGTAAGTCATTATGAAAGTTAAAACTTACTATGTAACTGATCAGATTAAAAACTATTATTAAAAACTTCCATTATTGCTATTATTTGATATCTACTTAAATATATCTCACATATCTTACATGTTCTACTGTGTATTTAAACTAGGTTAAATTTCTTCACATTCTTTATTATTTTAAAAATTTCATTCATTTTAAGTCTCTCAATTTGGAAAAGAGTAATGTTGGTGGCTATGAAAAAAACACAGACTATTCCCATTGTGCAATCACAGTAATACTTGAGCTGATTAGTGCGAGAGCCAATACTACATTCTAAGAATATAAAAACCTTTTCTTTTAAATGTATTACATTTATATAAAAACATTAGTATATACTAACTTATTTGATGGTTTTTTCATACTTACACAGGTTTATCTATTTTCTCCACTGCCTGGGAATCTGGAACAATATCCTGCAGGTCATCTAAATAAAATAAAAATTATGGCATTTTCACTTTTTTGTGCAGTTGGCAGGGTAAAACGGGAGTTGGTATAGAAGTTAATCAAGATTCACATATTAGGATATAGAGACTGATCTTCTTGGAAATAGAGACTGTATTATATTTCCTTGTAACCTCTAAGTTCCTTTCATAAAGCCAAATGCATTCATTATAAATCTTTCTTTTTCAAATCAATGAAAGCCAGTGAGTTAAAGGGAAATAGGAAGGGTATACATTTTTTAAAAGAGAAGGTAAAATTAAACCAAAAAAGTACTTACTAATATTTTGGTTTGGGAATTCAACATCCTTATTTTCTGTCTTCTTTACAACTTTAGCCATTTTGTTATGCTATAACACAGAGGAGACATGGTAATGTAAATTTAAATCAAGGCATTACATGAAAACAACTCTTAAAAGTCAGAGTATTAGGGGCGCCTGGGTGGCTCAGTTGGTTAAGCAACTGCCTTCGGCTCAGGTCATGATCCTGGAGTTCCAGGATCAAGTCCTGCATCAGGCTCCCTGCTCAGCAGGGAGTCTGCTTCTCCCTCTGACCCTCCCTCCTCTCATGTGCTCTCTCTCTCTCAAATAAACAAATAAAATCTTTTAAAAAAAAAGTCAGAGTATTAAAGTTTAAATCCTTTAAAATAATTTGCCTTGCTATTAAAAGTTGGATAGTATTTCTTTCTTTTTTTTGATTATTTATTTATTTATTTATTTGAGAGAGAGAGAATGAGAGATAGAGAGCACGAGAGGGAAGAGGGTCAGAGGGAGAAGCAGACTCCCCACTGAGCAGGGAGCCCAACGTGGGACTCGATCCCAGGACTCCGGGATCACGACCCGAGCCGAAGGCAGTGGCTTAACCATCTGAGCCACCTAGTATTTCTATTGTTTCATAAAGGTTATGCCCATTCCAGAATGCTGCTTATTCTAAAACATAAGAAAATAATTTTCATTAGACAAGGCAGAAGAGCCTACAAACTTTCTGATCTCATCCATAGCTAGTACAATAATTCCATTCTCATCTGTAACTATCAATTTCTAGAATCACCGTGGCACATCTCCTACTGCAGCTGATCTCACAGCCTGCATTTATTCTGTCTTTTCACTAACATACACACAAGAGTTGGAAATTCTAGAATATTAAAGGATTCTGTAAAGTTGTGGCCACTGAACAGGTAACTTCTTGCGTCCACCAAGGTTCCCTCTCTTCAGAGCCACAGATCTGATGACAGTCTGCCATCACTCAGAAACACATGCCCTCCTGGCTGACACAGTGCCCCATGCTGGCTGTCTTCACTACGTGGTCTAGCAGGCAGTTCTCCATCCCAGGACAGGAGCGGTAGGAGAGCATGCAGGTGCGTGTTGGCTGTCACAATGGCAGAAGGGCTCCCCTGACTGGAACGAGCAAGCCCAGGTCTGGTGTGCCCACCACCCTACCACGCCCAGGACTACAGCACAGCACCGAACAGCAGCACCCTAATAAAGGGACACTCAGCGGACTAATTTGAACAATTACTTTTGACTTTTCTTCTGAGTATCTTCAACTCTTGCACCATTCATCCTTTGGCCACATAACCATTTTTTTAAAAATCCACCACCTATTCCTTTTTACTGTGCTTTGTTGGAGAAAATGACACATAAAATTCACAGTCTTAAATTGAAAGCGCCCTCAACCTACCACCTCTACTTACTCTTCATCACCCTTCACTCACCCTCCCCATTATCTCAGTAACTGTTCCAAGTCGTTACACCCTTGAGCCCTCTACTTCAGCATATTGCCAAGACAAATTCACCATGTTCACCTCATACTTCAATGAAAACAAAAGCTATTAGGCATTTCTCATCTACAAACTTACTTATCTGTATCTCTGACCACCTCGTCTCACAAAGAAATAACTTTCTCTCAGCTACTCTCTGTTCTGTCCCTTCAACTACCTGGAATGAATGCCCTTCTCCCTGATGCCCATTGGACGAACCTTTACTGACCCTTCAAAAACCAACTCACTCTCCATCTCCTTAGAGAGTATCTCCTGATCTTTACCCTCCCCTCCAGCTCTGGGGTTAGGCACCTGCCCCTCCACTAGGTTCCTATTGCATCTTATATGTACAATCTGAGAACATTCAGACACTATTATAATTATCTGATTAATTTATTTAATTTCCACACTAGACTTTGAGATACTTAAGGACACAGTCCATGTGTATCTTACATTTCTATCAGACACTAAATTGTATAATAAACTAAAGAATGATGGCAAATCCATTTCTCCTACTGAATACATAAATCAGTTATACTGAAAGGATATTCCTCAATTTTACTGTTAGCACAGTAAGGAGGCCCTGTCGAAGGAACTGACTTTCAAAAACAATAAATCATACATGTACACACACACACACACACACACACACATATATATGTATATATATGTGTGATGGTACTTTAAACAAAGTGAGGCCCTCACTGCTTGCAAAAGAAGTTAGCTCAATATGTATTTCTACAATAGACTGATAAAATTAATTTTTAAAAATGTTTTCAAAGTAAAATTACTTTGTCTGTATTATCTCCACTATTTCTTCCTTCAGATGGTCTAGATATAAGAAATACAGCATTATCCACTCCACTTTCTGATGTTTTAGGTATATCAGGTTTTTCTGCAGAACTCATCATTTGCAGTGGTGGTTTAATTCTTCCTCTTCGTGGTGTTGCTAAAAAGGAGGACAAAGGACTGTAACATTTATAGAGCTTCTAAAATTACATATTGCTATTATTGAGGTACTTTTTAGATGAGGAAGGTAAAAAAGGGAGGTGCTAGGATGGGCCCCAGGTTTCTGGTTTAGATGAATAAATGGATACAGATGCCATTTACCAAGGTAAGAAAGAGACAAAAAACTGGCAGAGAGGGTGGAAAGATGAATTTATTGTGAAGCCTACTAGACCTCAGGTAACTATCCAGTAGGCAATTGGATTTTGGGAACAAAAGGTCACTATTAAATTGTCATATATACTAAATAAGACTGTGCTTTATAGCAGCTAGTATTATAGTACTATTTTTTGATTTGTATTTAGTCCTTAGTATGTACCAGGCACTGTCTAAATGTTTCATAATATTTCTCATTGAGTGAATGATTTTTATTTAGTCTTCTAAACACCTTGATGAGATAGACACTTTAGTTTCATTTTATAAAAAGAAAATTGGTTCTAAACTTACCTGGAGGATAATCTGTACAAAGTACACACCTGGGGGTAGGGAAATAAGTCCAAGCATCCTGATTAATTCAATGTTTTATCCACTATGTTACAGCTGACTCCCACTCAAATTACAATAAGTTATTAATGCTTGGTATTAATACTTTGAATAATGTTTACATGCTAATAACCAATATACCTTTCTTAGAAATTTGAAATTTCTTGACAATTAGAAGACATTTGTGGTTCCTATCTTAATAATTTCTATATCCCCAACTTATCCTCTACGTAAATTATGCCCAGAATATCTCTGAATTTAAAAATGTTGATTTTTAAAAAAATGTTTATTAAAAGTCTTTTAAGACTACAAAACTTACATGTGTTGATTAAAAGTATTGGACTTCTCACAGTGTATCTGTCTGCGCCAGGAACAATCATTGATGCTTCAGACATTTTTCTTTTGCTAGGAGTAATTGTCTGAAACCACAAGAAGCAGCCACAGTAAACACACATTCTGTTTTGAAATTAAATATTCTCTAATTTTATCCATAGCATTTTACCTTGACTACACACAAAAGACATATGGTACTTCTTTAAAAGATTTTATTTATTCACTTCAGAGATAGATGGAGAGAGCAAGAGAGAAAGCACAAGCAGGGGGGAGAGCAGAGAGAGAGGAACAAGGAGACTCCGTGCTGAGCACAGAGCCCCATGTGGGGCTCAAACCCAGGATCGTGAGATCATGACCTGGGCCAAAACCAAGAGTCGGATGCTCAACCAACTGTGCCACCCAGGTGCCCTGATATACGGTATTTTATAAACAACATGATAACCAGAAATTTCTGTGTTTTAGACTGACTTGAAAGGTTTTACCCTAATATTTAGTATTGAATAGGTAGCCAAAACTTGTTTTAAAAAGTATTTATAGAATACCCATGCATATGAAATATAGCACCTTATATACTAGCTGAAAATATTTTATTGATACTGAGTGTATCTATAACCAATGGCTCAGTTTCTTATTCTATTTCAGTGTATGATATCTGGATACATAGTTATGTAAATTCATATACATTTGTTTGGGAATGCTTTCATAATGTTTAGAATTCTTCAAAACTTTCACACATTTTAAAAATCTGTATTAATATTCTGTGAGGACTAAAGTGGCTTTGGAGTAAAAAGTAGCTACAGGACTTCAGAGCCTCAGTGGCACCAGAGCCAGTGGTTCCAGTGAAGATGTGCATTTTCTAACTTCATCCTAGAGTCACTGAATAGAGGTGGAAAGGAGGTTCAGAGGACGCCATGGAACGGAGCAGATGGTGACAAACTGTAAAGATGCAAAGGAGATCTGGTTTTCAAAAGGCACCTGCCCCTAAGACTAAGAAAAAAATACCGCAGGAGTTTTTAATAGTTCTGTAAACGGGGTGTGGAGGAAGGCTGGAAAGGAGAGGAAAAGGAGGAATTCTATGATTAACCAGAAAACAAACTACTGAACCAATGGGATTCTTCAAGAAAAGACAGTTCCTAGTGGCATAGTGAATGGGGCCTGGGAAGTTATCTATTCATATAAATGCTTCAAACAAAAAACACAGTGGTATTTAACAACAGTGCATTGTTTCTTAGAGATTTTTACTCGTAGAGTTTATGACAATAAATTTAAGGTAGGAGGGCCCTAAGAATTAGCATTTCAAATAAGTACTCGTGTTACGACCCTGATATAAAAACATAGAAAATGGCTTTTATAATTTAATTGTCCAAGGAAAACAGAAGATGGCATTTTTCATTTAACGAAGGACACAAGACTAATGGGGAAAAAACAGTGAGTAACATCAACATGACAAAATGTACGGAAGAGCCTGTGAGAGTTAAAGTTGCTTAAAGGTGAGAAATTAGTAAAAACTAAAACAGGAAAAGGTCCATGAAGAAAAGTGAAAATTAATCAAGACTTGCAATTGTAAGGGCACTTTAAATGAGGGAAGGTAAAAAAAAAAAGGACAAACAACATGAATGAAGGTATAGAGGCAAGATTAGTGTGACATAAAGAGAAGCAGGAAAGCAGTTAACCTTACTAACGTGGTGAGTATGTAGAGTAAAATGAACTTGTAGGTCTCAGAATTGAGTTAAAATTTTGATGCAGGAAGATAAACACAGAGATTCCACAACTTTCTGACCAGAATGCAACAGGGACTCTGAGATTAAGAAAAACCAGGGGAAGGAACACCACATGGGGTAGTTACAGAGTCAAAGGCCAAAGAGGAGGCTGCCGTATTGAGCTGGGTGTACTCAAATGAGTAAGGGCGAAGGGAATGAGGAGGGAAGGATGTGCGGGATACTGTGAAAGAACCATCATGAGCACCTTGCTCCTAGGTGTCCTGGGAGAGGGGCAGGATTCAGGACACCATCAGAAAGTTAATGGTAGCATTACTGAAGTATGGAGGCAGATGCAAATTTGAAGCAAAAGATAAGAGTTTGAGGTTAGATCAGGAAAACGAGACATACAAAAGGAAACATTCGAAGAGTAAGTGGAGACTTCGCTGCAGCACTTTGAAAAGAGGTCTGGTATATTTCAAGAGCTTAAACGATTCACATGAAGGAAGCTCTTTAAGGGAGAAGGCGTAGAGATGTTCAAGAAGCTGAGTCAAGCTTTCAGAGCCAATGGACATTTAGGATGCGGGGAAAGAAAGTATCTCTAATGTAGTAACAGAAGTAGGAAGAGAACTAAAAGGCTAACAGAAATCAAAGAAGGTGAGGACATTAAGAAAGACAAGGCTGTTAGCAATGTCAAGTGTCACAACAAGACAAGGAGGCTGAGAACTGGTTCTGCTGAACATGGCCCAGAGGAGAGCCTCCACCAGCAGGAGGAGGAGGAAAAAGTACTTAATACTTGGCTTTCTTTCCTTATGCAAATAAAGAGAATGTTACATTATAGATTTGCATTCTACATAACAGTCAAAAGCAAAAATAGACAGGATAAATGTTACAAGTGGTACTTTCTTACATATTTCTAACTTGGAATTTACAAGTGTATACTATACCATGTCTTACTTAACCCTCTTACCCCTACACAAACACAATTGCTAAAACACTACCTTTTGTTTGCATTTGTAAAAGGCAAGGGAAATACTCTGAATGTTATTGATGAAGGCCATTAAGGTAAAATTCTAGATGCTTTTTTTTTCTGTAATTATATGTAGCAATGATTTGATCTATGCTGTTTTATAAACAACTTTTTTTTTTTTAAGATTTTACTTATTTATTTGACACAGAGAGACACAGTGAGAGAGGGAACACAAGCAGTGGGAGCGGGAGAGGGAGAAGCAGGCTTCCCACAAAGTGGGGAGCCTGATGCGGGGCTCGATCCCAGGACCCTGGGATCATGACCTGAGCTGAAGGCAGACACTTAACAACTGAGCCACCCAGGCGCCCCTATAAACAACTATTTTGACACCATATTTACCTCAAGCTGACTATTCTTTCTGTCTCCTTGATTACTGTTTTTGATATATTTCGGAGGTTTAGCAAATTCCTTTTGGGAGTTAGGTTTTTCTTTCAAAGTAATGAGTTCCTCTTCAATGGGTGAGATTTGACTTTCTGGCACTAGAATCTGTTGGAGAATATGGAGAAAAGTATTTCAAACTGCAAACCACAGTAAGTTCTCAAAAATCACTGGATGTCTTAGTAAAGCGCCCATTCATCCCACACTTACAAAAGTCAATTCTTTGTTTTCTATGTACTTAGTCCTACAAAGTGACCCAACAAAAAACACCCACATTTTCAAATCTCCATAGACATAAAACAAGCTTTGGCATTAGTGGCAGGACATATATGCCTAATTTTTAAAGTTACCAAAATGATATTAATAACTATCTTCTGTACTAAAATAAATGATCTTTAATAACACGTTTAAAAAATCATATACCTTAGTGGGGCACTATATGTTTAGACAATTCATTTTTCAGATATTCACCGTCCAACATAATACTGTGCGATTATTTAGGGTTCAACTTAGCTCAGTGATAAAAATCAAGTAAGTCAGACACATACCTGTGATCCACTTGCATCAAAAACTATATGCACAGATGTTTTGGCAACTGAAATACCTTGTTTTCTGGTAAATTCCTAAAATTAAATTAATTCAAAGTGATGTCATGTTCTCCCAGTTCTTTCCATGTTAATGCATTTCCTGCATTTCCTTTCAAAACTCCCAAATTATCTCAAATCATTATTTTGTATATATAAATACCCTCCTCCACACACAGTCTCTATTTTTCTTCACCATAAATCTTCTGCACTGCTATGAACTGAATGTGTCCCCCAAATTCATATATTGAAACCTACACCCCAAGGTGATGGTGTTAGGAAGTGGGGCCTCTGGCAGGTGACTGGTTCATCAGGGCAGGGTCCTTGTGAATAGGATCAGTGCCCCTATAAAATGAGACCCCAAAGGACTCCCTGACCCCTTCTGGCATGTGAGGACACAGTGAAAAGACAGCCACTGTGAAACAGGAAGCAGGGCCTCGCCAGAAAATATGTCTGCTGGTGCCAGCCGTAGCCACCTAGCCTCCAGAGCTAGGAGAGACGGATGGAAGTGAATGGGGAGGGAGAGAAAAAGAAAAAACAGAAAGAAAGGAGGTTTGTCATTTTCCGCCACCCCGTCTATGGCATTCGCACCCCAGCAGCCTGAACAGACTACAACGTGCACTACCCAAGCTTGTCAACAGAGTAGCTCCCTGAAACATAACATGAATCATCACCTTACTGACTCATCATGTCTTCCACAGTCCTAGAACGCATCTTCTCTAAATTTCACCCAGCAATTTCCAAGGCCATTTCAAGTCCCATCTGAACAGCCTTTCCTTCATATCAGACTCTTAATGAGCATTCTCTTTTCTCAACTTCTATACCTGCCCCTTATTTACTTCTTCTGAGGTAGATTCTGTAATTTTCACAATGTTTAATATCTTAAAAACGTGGTCTTGTCTCAATTCACTTTTTAAACACCTAGCAGGAATTCATTAAATATTTTGAATACTGCAGCTTATTTTGTCATCTGAGATTCTAACAGGTGTCTCAAGGATATGGCTAACAATCTGATGGCTATTCCACAATAAAAATTTAAAGAACTAAAAATCAACATGTCATTTTAAGAATTCTATGGAAAAAAATGAAACTTATAGCCCCAGGTAACCAAAAGTTTCCATAATTATGAAAATAAATATTTAAAAGAATCTTATGAAAATAAATGTTGAAAAGAATTTAAACACTTACCCTATATTTATTTGCACCAAAAATTTTTTGTGTCACAGTAGTGATTTCTAATGATGCATCAAAATACAAAAGCAATTCTTTCCCTTCTCTTTTACTAATTTTTGCCATGTTTTTCAGAATTATGGTCAGCAGCTTCTTCGATTCTCTCACTGTATACAAACAAATCACACCGATTAGTTTATATTCATTTCTATGATACCACTCTCCAGGTATGTTATAAATAAGTCATGTAGTGTATTAATTAAATTGAAGTGAAATAACATTAACTTTTAGGATTTAACAATCAATTCCAGTACTAACTACTTATGCAAACCAATCAATTCATTTTTCAGAGTCTCAGTGTATTGATCTATAAATTACAAGCTAATACAATAACTAATGAGCTAAAGCCCTAAATATGCTGTGGACACTAACAGGTTCTTAATAAATACTCCTTGAACATATCTAAGAAAACTATCTGCTTAATTTAAAAGAGGCAAAGAAAATAACCTTAATTCCATAAATAACCATTATTTCTAGGCATAAGCATCCATTCAAACATTTCTCTTAAATCCAGCTGTTACAAACAAGTTGACAGTAAACAGCTGTCAAAAACCTTGAGTGCCGGGAAACTAAAGAAGAATCGGGGCAATTCCTCCATTAATTCGCCAATCCACTGAAAATACTGTAAGTGCCAGCTTATAAGAGGTATTCACTTCCCTTCCTCTAAAAATTCACCAAAGAATCCCTTGGCATCCAATTAATGTGCCTGTATTATGGACTAAAGGCCACTTATGGCCCTGTTGTACTTCTGATGGTACTCCTGTTGATGACTGACAAGTCGTCACACCTGCCCCCAGTGTATATTTTTGGGCAGGAGGAAATCCTACATCCTGATGGAGATGGAGCATACCAAGTAAAAAAATTTGTCTCTACATGAAGAAAAGCTCTGCTGCCTACTTCATGACCTAATCTACAGGACAAATAATTCTGATTCCTATGAGACTTACTCAAGCAGAATATGTGTTGTTTGTTTTTGCAACTATATGGTCATGACAAACTTCTGCAGTAAAGTCCTTTGATGATTATAAGAATTATTAATTGCTTGAAGATAATGGTGACAGTTTCTAACTCAAAGAGTGCTGGTGGTTTTATTTTGGGAAAAAATAGTCAAGTGTTTCAAAAGTAACAAGTTTTCAGGCTTTAGAGATGAAAGTTTGGGTGACTTTGAAGCCAATAATGTTTTGAATTCTGATGAATATTAGAAAATTTATAATCCTTATGGATATTTTTGATTATTATATTGCTCTGATAGGTTTTTCTGCAGCTTGCCACAAACTTATAGTAAATACAATATTTATTTCACTGCTTACATAAACATATTAGAATTACTTCAAATATTCCTGAATGTTTTGTACCTTTTTGTACAAAGTATTCTCCACATATACTGTGACTATAAAGAATTTATTGATATTTGTTATATTTTATCGTGGGCTTTGTTGAAATTTTTGTTAGTTCCTTTAACTGCCTGGACTATATCATAGCTTGCTTTTAATTAGCAATATTACTATGATACCAGAAAAGTTATTTTGTTGCTTGCTAAAAAGCCAAGTATTTTGGGGTGCCTGGGAGGCACAGTCAGTTGAGCATCCGACTCTTGGTTTTGGCTCAGGTCATGATCTCGGGGTTGTGAGATCGAGCCCTATGATGGGCTCCACACTTAGCGCAGAGTCTGCTTGTGACTCTGTCTCCCTCTTCCTCTCCTCCCAACATGCACGGGCATGCGTAAGCGTGCTCTCACTCTCTCTCAAATAAGAAAATCTTAAAAAAAAATCTAAGTATTTATAAACATATTTATATGAGATTCTAGTACACTGTATGAATATAATGTTTTCTTCTGTGAAGGCATTTAAAAAAATTTTAAGATTGCCCATGGAGCCTTCATTTTATACATTCTTACATATTACATATAAAAGGGTCTAATTGTCTGCAATCCATCACGCTGCTGCTTCCCCATCCCCTCTGCCTGCAACTAATGAAATTCTTTTTCACTAGAAATATTAATTGACTTCCAGTTTCTTTTTTTTTTTTTTACTTCCATGACTGTTATTCATGTAAAAATTCAGATACTGCCCATTCCATATAGGTTACACTAGACTACCGCTTTGCTACAAAGGATATTAAAGGATACACATGAACAGCTAGGTGAAGAGATACACAGTGTGAAGTCTGGAAGGGTCCGGCACACAGGAGCTCCTGTCCCTGTGAAGTTTAGGGTGCACCACCCTCCTGGCATGAAGATTCATTATTATTCACCAACCAGGAAGCTCCAAAAAAGCCCTTTTAATCTAAACATAAAGAACTTAATTTTTTGTAAAAGTGTCCTCATAAAATTAGGAAGAGTTATGTATTGGAAAATAAATTTTAAAAATCAATTATGCTATTAAAACAATGAAAATAACTTTTTTTTGCCCAATTATGCACAACTACGTTTGGCAAGATGCAAAAGACAGAATTTTATTAGGAAGTGGAGGCAGTGATTAGCATGAAAATAAAGGGGAGTAAAGAAATTCAAAAAATGTTAAGAGAAATACATGAACATGAAAAATGATTAGCTGAGGGAGAAGAAACAGTCAAGAATGGCTTCTATATTGGGGGACCTGGAAGTTTTATCATACCATTTGTCAAAATAGGAAATAATGGATGAGTATATAGAGCTTAGTTGAGAAATTAGGAAAAAAGATTAAAAAATGAAAGTGTAGTCAACGGTGTCAAATGTGGGGGGAGGGTCAAGTATAAGGACTGAAAGTGTGCATATTGATATTAATAATAAACTATTATTTTGACATCTAAAATTTCAGTGGAGTGGGATGGAAAACAATGTAATAAGAGCAGGACTGTAAAGCAGGAGAAAAAAAGATTTAGTAAAAACTCTCTCTCAAAATTGGCTACGAATGGAAAAAGAGTGAGACAACTGGAGGAAGATGAAGATGCAAGTAAGCTTTTTGTTTTAAAATGCCATAACGGAGGTACCATAAAAATGTAAGATGTTAAAAAAAAAAAGATATAAAAGTTAAAAAATAAGGGGCTCCTGGCTTGGTCAGTGGATCATGATCTAGGGAGTTCGAACCCCAGGGTGGGTGTAGAGATTAAAGAAAATAAAAATCTTAAAAAAAAAAAAGTATGGGCGAAAACATTATGCTAAATGAAAAATGCCAGTCACAAAAAGATATATACTGTATAATTCCATTTAAAGTAGTCAAATTCACAGAAGACAAATGTAGAATGGTGGTTACCAGGGGCTGAGTGGATGGGGGGAAAAGGGAAGTTGATTAACAGGTATACAGTTATAATTTGGCAAAATGACAGAAGTTCTGGAGATCTGTTTCACAACAATGTGAAATACTTAACACTACTGAACTATACACTTAATAAGGTAGTAAATTTTATGTTGTATTTATTTGTTTTTTAACCACAATTTAAAAAATTGGAGAAACTGGGTGAGGAGGCACATGGAAACTTTATATACCATTTTGGCAAGTTTTCTGTAATCTAAAACTATTCTAAAATTAAAAATTTATCTTACAAAAAGACCCAAATCAAACTTCCAGAGATGAAAAATATAACACGGGAGGTGAACATTATACAAGATAGAACCAACAACAGATTAGACACTGCTAAAGAAAATATTAATGACCATGAAATACAGCAATAGAAAAGTATTCAAATAAAAAAAAGGGGGTGGAAATCTGGGGTAGAAGGAGTGGAGAAACCACAGAATCAGTGAGCTGTGGGAAAACTTCAGGTAGCTTAGTGTATGTGTAATCAGACTCTCCAAAGGGAAGGAGAAGAAAGAATCAGCAGGAAAAAATATCTCAAGAATACTGGATAAAAACTTTAAATTTGATGAAAACTATGAACCCACAGAACAAAAGTCTCAATGAACCCCAAGCACAAACAACATGAAGAAAATCACACTAAAGCATGATATTGGCATTGTTTAAAACTAGTGATGAAGAGAAAATCTTAAAAGCATCCAGGGGTAAAAAGACTTTAAATAAAATGGAACAAACTAGAGAATGACAGTAGACTTCTCATCAGAAACAACACAAGCCAGGAAACAATAGAGTAACATCTTTAAAGTAAACTGAACTAAAACAACAGGCAATCTAAAATTCGATATGTATCAAAAGTACTTTTAAAAAATGAAAACAAAATAAAAGATTTTTCTGATATATAAAAACTGAAAGAACTCATCACCGGTACTGTACTACAAGAAATACTAGAGAAGTCATTTAGGGAGAAGGAAAACAACACTAGGTAGAAATCTGAATCCACACAAAGGAAAACTCAACACTGGAAATGGTAAACGTGTAGGTAAATATAAAATACATTTTAATCCATTTTAAAAATCTCTTTAAAAGCTAATTGGCTGCATAAAGCAAAAAATCATTACACCATATTGCAAGGTTTCTGACACATGCAAAACAAAACAACGAAACAAACAAAAACCTTCTGTGTATACTGATAGCAATGGCATGAAAGCCAGGAAAGCAAATGTGCAAGTGCACTGTTGCAGGGTTCCCGTGCTACACATAAAAGGGTGTAATATTACCTGAATATACACACTATGAAGTTAAAAATGAATAAAATAAATCCTAAATCAACCACTAATTAAAGGGGGTATAAAGCCAACAAAGGAGATACAATAAAATCAGCTTTTACCCTGAGACACTGGAAACAGAAAAATAAATTAAAACCGAAGCAGAAAAAAAAAACAATAAACAAAAGAGCAGAGATCAACCAAATGGAAAATAGAAAAACAACAGAGAAAAATCAATGAAACCAAAGGCTGGTTCTTTGACAATACCAATAAGACTGATTAGGAAAAAAATATACAAATTATAAACATCAGGAGTGACAGAATGGCCATCATAACAAGTCTACAGACATTAAGAAGATACTAAGGGACCATAATAAACCACTTCATGCCAATAAATTTGAATAAAATGGACAGATTACTAGAGAGACACAAATTATCAGCTTACTCAAGAAGAAATAGATAACCTGAAACACTTTCTATTAAATAAACTGAATTTGTAGTTATTAAGAGTCTTCAACAAAGAACGGTGGAAGCCCAGACTGCTTCACTGGCAAACACTAGTAGATACTTAAAAAACAGTATCAACTCCATTCACATTCTTACAGAAAACTGAAGACGGTGGAAAACTTGCCAATTCATTTTTATGAGGTTAATACTGCCCTCACTCTGAAACTGAAAGACAGTACAAGAAAACTGCAGACCTTCTAAGCGCATAGAATACCAAATTCCTAAGTAAATTTCATAAATCAATTCCGATGATATATAAAAGGATAATGTACCAAAATCAAGTGGGGTTTATCCCAACAATGCAAAGTTGGTCTAACATTTGAAAATCAATGTATTTCTATTAAGGAACCAAACAAGAGAAACTATATATAATTATCAATAGAGGCAGGAAAAGCATTTCCCCAAATCCAACAATGTTTGTGATCAAGGAAGGCTCTTGCAGCAAATTAGGAATAAGACAATTTCCTCAGTTTGACAGAGGGCACACATGAAAAACTGTCACCATAAATACATCATGGTGAAAAAAAGGAATGCTTCCCCCATTAACATCAAAAACTAGGTAAAGACATCTACTCTCATCACTTCTATTCAACATTGTACTGAAGGTTCCAGGCAGTGCAATAAGGCAAGGTAAGATTGACCATATGAAGTGTTGCCCAGGATGTGAACTAGAACTCTTACACACTGGTGGTGAAAATGTAAAATGATAAAACTGCTTGGGACAACAGTTTGGAAGTTTCTGGAAAAGGTAAACATATACCTATGTTTTGACACAGCCACTACACTCCTAAGTATTTACCCAGGAGAAATAAAAGCATTATATACACATACATGAAAATAAGTTTACATGAATACTCACAGGAGCATTTTATAATAGCTGAAAACTGGGAACATTCCAAATACTCATCAGAAGGTGAATGGATAAACAAATTGAAGTACAACCATGCAATGGAATACCACTCAGCAATAAAAAGGAATAAACTATTAATACATGTAATGTGGCTAAATAAAAATATATATCTAAATGTACATATTATATAAAAAATATACAAATGTCATATATAAACGTACATATTACACTTGTATAAAATATGTACATTTATATAAAGTATGTATTACATATATTTTACATGTACATTTTATATATTACATAGAGTACATATAATTATACATATTACATATACTAACATAAATATGCATATATATATATATAGGTATATGCTGTATAATTCTATTTATAGAAACTGCAGAAAATGTAAACTTGTCCATGGTAGAGAAAACATCAGTGACTTCCTGGGGCTAGATCTTCCTGGGGATAGATCAAAAGGAGCATAAAGAACATTTAGGGGGACTGGATATATTTACTACCTTGAATTGCATAACAGTTTCATGTGTGTTTATACACGTGAAGACTCACCAACTTCCTCAACCTGATGGAGGGTCATCTACAAAAAACCTTCAGCTAACATCATGTTTGAGGGTTAAATACTACACGTTCTTTCCTAAGCAAAGATCATGAAGAATGCAAAGATGACCACTTTTACCACTTGTATCCAATACTGTACTAGAAGTTCTAGCTATTGCAGTAAGGCAAAGGTAGGAATAAAGGGAGGAAAAAATAAAGAGAGGAAGGAAGAAGAGGTAGGGGAGAGGGATAAAGGAAAGAAGTTCGTTAAGGAAGGCCATAAGGATCAGAAAGGAAGAAGTAAAACCTACCTCTATTTGCAGATACCATGACGGACTACCTAGAATATCCCCAGGAATCCATGCTACAACTACCAGAACTAAATAGTGACTTTGGCAAGACTGTAGGATAAAAGGTAAGTATTTCAAAATCAATTGTATTTTTACATACCAGCAGAAAATATCTGGAAAATGAAATTAAAAACCAATTCTATTCACAATCATATAAAGTTAAGATTGAAGACTTGGGAATAAGTTCATCAAAGGATATGTAAGATTTCTACACTTAAAACAAGGTATTGTTGAGAGAAACTAAAGACCCAAATAAATGTAAAAATACACCATGTTTGTAGACTGAAATACTATTGTTACAATGTTATTTCTCCCCATATCAAACTACAATTGCAATCATAAATCTAGCAGGCTTTTTATAGCAATTGATAAGTCAACTCTAAAAGATATATGGAAATACAAAAGGTCTAGAATTTCTAAAACAGCCTTGAAAAAAACCACAATGTTGGAAGATTACACTATCTGATTTCAAGACTAACTATAAATATACAAAAATTAAAACAGTGTGGTACTACTTGCATAAGGAATGGCAAATAGATCCATGGGATGGAATACAGCTTTAAGAAATAAGATGGGCACTTCTATCAGTCATTCGATTTTCAAAGAGGGAATCAATGAAATCCAGTGGTGAAAGGAAAGTCTTTTCATCAAATAGTCCTGGAATAACTTCATGTCCATGTGAAAAAAATGAACCTCAACTCCTGTATCATACCATAACCAAATGTTAATTTGAGATGGATCATAATCCCAAACATAAAAGCTAAAACCACAAAGTTTTTATAAACGAACGAAAGAACATCTTTGTGACTTGGTAGTAGTCAAAAATTACTTAGTTCACACAAAGCAACAAGCACAATGAAAAAAGTGATCAAGTGGACTTCAAATTTAAAGACTTCTGCTCATTAAAGACACCCCTAAGAAAATAAATTAGCAAGATGCAGACAGGGAGAAAATACACATAGAACATCTATCAAAGAATTGATACCCACTTATGAAAGAACTCAAAAACTTAATTAAAAAAACACAGCCTAGAAAAAAAAAAGGACAAAATATTTAAACGGATACTTCACAAAGAGTATATATCAATGGCTACCAAGCAAATGCAAAAGTGCTCAATATTTATGGTCAAGAGGAATATGCAAATAAAAACTATCATGAGATACCACATCCCCATTGAAATGCCTAAAATCTATCTTGATATCTGAATGTGTAGTGGTACCAGTCTGCCAAGTTGTAGGACTTTGCCAGCAGTGTTATACAATTCCAGTTATGTTAGTGCAGGAACTAGATGTTTGGATCTCATCAAACTAATAGTATAAAAGGCAAGGGCCTTGAACATATTGACAAGAAAGTGATTGATCATAAGTTTTAGACTAAAGAAAAGTTCAGGAAGGAGTTGGGAAATTGGGGGTGGGGGAAATATGGGTTCAGGGGGAATACTGAACTATCAAATTTATGAATGTGAATATATGAAAATGTTGACTTTGTTTTCATTAGTCTATTTTTTTCCCCAGAGAGCATGCAACTGCTACTCCATGTGATCAGAGTCAAGAGGAGAGTTAGAGGAAACAAGTTAAATACCTTCAATGCTGTATATTTGTACTTTATCCTCAGGCACAGTCACTGCTTCCCACTGATGATCCTTAAATTTAAAAACAGGTTTGACCATAAATAATTTACTCCTGCTTTAAATCTTCTTTAAACACCAGTTTAAAAACTTAAAAGTTATACAAACAATAGTTATTTTTTATTATCACTAAGTAACACATTTCTTGCTCCATCAATTGATTGTGCAATACATTACATGTGTCACATTTAATCTATTTGTTCACTTTTATGAAGGAAATACTGGTATGATTTCATAGTATAATGGTATAATTTCTTGTTTTTGACCAAAAAAGGAATTACTACCATTAATATTTATTAGAGGATATTCTTTTTAAAAATGTTACCAAATCCTGTCATTTATGCTTTGGAAATAGTGTGAAATCCTATGCATTCCTCAATTCCCACTCACAGACTGACTGTCCTTAGATTTAAACACTGAATGCATATGAATAATCACCATTATTTCCCCCTTCCCCCTTCCACATGCTTTCATTGAAAATTTGTATAACTCAATAATACTGAATTCACAAAAAAAGCTATAGGAAAAATTAGATATCATTCCTAAAAGATGAGATCCTAAAACCTTCCACTAATCTTGTGAGGAAAATAGACCCCCTTCTTTTGTTATTTAAAGACAATTCATTTTACAGAAATTCACCTGAATCCTCAATCTCTTCACTAACTCCCTCCACTTCTTTGCCTTAATTGAAACCAGTCCATATGCTGAGGGCACCACTAGCATTATGGCATCTCTCCAGTTAAGGTGCTAATTCTCCCATACCTCAAAGCCTCAGGGTCAGGAGGAAAGTGTTGCTATCCTTTTCTCTGCCCAAAAGCTTTGAGCAGCTTCTTATTTTCTATGTGTAAAAACACCTGCTCCTTTGAGGCACATGTCAGATGGTTGTTAACTTCAAAGTGATGCTTCCTGGTTTATCGCCTTCCTTTTTAAGAAATTTTTATATTATGGAAATTTTCGTAATTTTTATTTATTTTTATTTTTTAACTTAAATTCAAATAACATATAGTGTATATTAGTTTCAGAGGTAGAGTTCAGTGATTCATCAGTCTTATATAACACCCAGTGCTTGTTATATCACATGCCCTCCTTAATGCCCATCACCCACTTACCCCATCCCTCCACCCGCCTCCCCTCTAGCTACCCTCAGTTTTTTCCTATGATTAAAAGTCTCTTATGGTTTTTCTCCCTCTCTAATTTCATTTCGATGGACATCTGGGCTCTTTCCATACTTTGGCTATTGTGGACATTTCTGCTATGAATATTGGGGTGCGGGTACACCTCAGAATCACCACCTTTGTATCTTTGGGGTAAGTACCAGTAGTGCAATTGCTGGGTCATACATAGGGTAGCTCTATTTTCAACTGTCTGAGGAACCTCCATACTGTTTTCCAGAGTGGCCGCACCAGCTTGCATTCCCACCAACAGTGTAGGAGGGTTCCCCTTTCTCCACATCCCCGCCAACATCTGTCGTTTCCTGACTTGTTAATTTTAGCCATTCTGACTGGTGTGAGCTGGTATCTCATTGTGGTTTTGATTTGGATTTCCCTGATGCCAAGTGATGTGGAGCATTTTTTTCATGTGTCTGTTGGCCATTTGGATGTCTTCTTTGCAGAAATGTCTGTTCATGTCTTCTGTCCATTTCTTGACTGGGTTATTTGTTCTTTGGGTATTGAGTTTGGTAAGTCCTTTATAGATTTTAGATACTAGCCCTTTATCTGGTAAGAGATTTGCAAATATCTTCTCCCCCCCTCCCCCCATTCTATACCCTGTCTTTTGGTTTTGTTGAATGTTTCCTTTGCTATGCAAAAGATTTTTATCTTTTTTTAAATTTTATTATGTTATGTTAATCACCATACATTACATCATTAGTTCTTGATGTAGTGTTCCATGATTCATTGTTTGTGCATAACACCCAGTGTTCCATGCAGAACGTGCCCTCTTTAATACCCATCACCAGGCTAACCCATCCCCCCACCCGCCTCCCCTCTAGAACCCTGTTTGTTTCTAAGAGTCTATAGTCTCTCATGGTTTCTCTCCCCCTCCAAATCCCCCTCTTCATTTTTCCCTTCCTACTTTTTTTTTTAACATATAATGTATTATTTTTTTCAGAGGTACAGGTCTGTGATTCATCAGTCTTACACAATTGACAGCGCTTACCATAGCACATACCCTCCCCAATGTCTATCACCCAGCCACCCCATCCCTCCCACCCCTCACCACTCCAGCAACCCTCAGTTTGTTTCCTAAGAATTCCTCATATCAGTGAGATAATATGATACATGTCTTTTCCTGATTGACTTATTTTGCTTAGCATAATACCCTCTAGTTCCACCCATGTTGTTGCAAATTCTAAGATTTCAGGTTTTTTGATGGCTGCATAATATTCCATTGTGTGTGTGTGTGTGTGTGTGTGTGTGTGTGTGTGTGTGTGTGTATACACACACACCTATATACCACATCTTCTTTATCCATTCATCTGTTGATGGACATCTTGGCTCTTTCCATAGTTGGGCTACTGTGGAGGTTGCTGCTATAAACACTGGGGAGCAGGTGCCCCTTCATATCACTACATTTGCATATTTGGGGTAAATACCCAGTAGTGCAATTGCTGGATCGGACGGTAGCTCTATTTTCAACTTTTTGAGGAACCTCCATATTGTTTTCCAGAGAGGCTGCACCACCTTGCATTGCCAACAACAGTGTAGGAGGGTTCCCCTTTCTCTGCATCCTCGCCAACATCTATCATTTCCTGACTTGTTAATTTTAGCCATTCTGACTGGGGTGAGGTATCTCATTGAGGTTTTGATTTGGATTTCCCTGATGTCGAGTGATATTGAGCACTTTTTCATCTGTGTGTTGGCCATTTGGATGTCTTCTTTGCACAAATGTCTGTTCATGTCTTCTGCCCATTTCTTGATTGGATTAGTTGTTCTTTGGATGTTGAGTTTGATAAATTCTTTATGGATTTTGGATACTAGCCCTTTATCTGATATGTCATTTGCAAATATCTTCTCCCATTCTGTTGGTTGACTTTTGGTTTTGTTGACTGTTTCCTTTGCTGGGCAAAAGCTTTTTATCTTGATGAAGTTCCAAGAGTTCATTTTTGCCCTTGCTTCACTTGCCTTTGACGATGTTTCCAGGCAGAAGTTGCTGCGGCTGAGGTCAAAGAGGTTGCTGCCTGTGTTCTCCTCAAGGATTTTGATGGATTCCTGTCTCACATTTAGGTCTTTCATCCATTTAGAGTCTATTTTTGTGTGTGGTGTAAGAAAATGGTCCAGTTTCATTCTTCTGCATGTGGCTGTCCAAATCTCCCAACACAATTTGTTGAATGGTCTTTATTCCATTCGACATTCTTTCCTGCTTTGTTGAAGATTAGATGACCACAGAGTTGAGGGTCCATTTCTGGGCTCTCTATTCTGTTCCGTTGATCTATGTGTCTGTTTTTGTGCCAGTATCATACTGTCTTGATGATGACAGCTTTGTAGTAGAGCTTGAAGTCCGGAATTGCGATGCCGCCAGCTTTGCTTTTGTTTTTCAACATTCCCCAGGCTATGTGGGGTCTTTTCTGGTTCCATACAAATTTCAGTATTATTTGTTCCATTTCTCTGAAAAAAAGTGGATGGTGTTTTGATAGGGTTTGCATTAAATGTATAGCTTCCTCTAGGTAGCATTGACATCTTCACAATATTTGTTCTTCCAATCCATGAGCATGGAGTGTCCTCCTCAATTTCCTTCATGAGTATTTTATAGTTTTCTGAGTACAGATTCTTTGCCTCTTTGGTTAGATTTATTCCTAGGTATCTTATGGTCTTGGGTGCAATTGTAAATGGGATCAACTCCTTAATTTCTCTTTCTTCTGTCTTGTTGTTGGTGTGTATAAATGCCACTGATTTATGTGCATTGATTTTATATCCTGCCACTTTACTGAATTCCTGTATGAGTTCTAGCAGTTTTGGGGTGGAGTCTTTTGGGTTTTCACATAAAGTATCATATCTGCAAAGAGTGAGAGTTTGACTTCTTCTTTGCCAATTCAGATGCCTTTTATTTCTTTTTGTTGTCTGATTGCTGTGGCTAGGACTTCCAATACTATGTTGAATAGCAGTGGTGATAGTGGACATCCCTGCTATGTTCCTGACCTTAGGGGGAAAGCTCTGTTTTTCCCCATTGAGAATGATATTCACTGTGGGTTTTTCATAGATGGCTTTTATGATATTGAGGTAGGTACCTTCTATCCCTACACTCTGAAATGCTGTACTTTGACAAATGCTTTCTCTGCATCTATTGAGAGGATCATAGGGTTCTTGTTCTCTCTTTTATTAATGTATTGTATCACATTGATTGATATGCGGATGTTGAACCAACCTTGCAGCCCAGGGATAAATCCCACTTGGTCGTGGTGAATAATCCTTTTAATGTACTGTTGGATCGTACTGGCTAGTATTTTGGTGAGCATTTTTGCATCCATGTTCATCAGGGATATTGGTCTGTAATTCTCCTTTTTGATGGGGTCTTTGTCTGGTTTTGGGATCAAGGTAATGCTGGCCTCATAAAATGAGTTTGGAAGTTTTCCTTCCATTTCTATTTTTTGGAACAGTTTCAGAAGAATAGGTATTAATTCTTCTTTAAATGTTTCGTAGAACTCCCCTGGGAAGCCATCTGGCCCTGGGTTCTTGTTTGTTGAGACATTTTTGATGACTGCTTCAATTTCCGTAGTGGTTATAGGTCTGTTCAGGTTTTCTATTTCTTCCTGGTTCAGTTTTGGTAGTTGATACATCTCTAGGAATACATCCATTTCTTCCAGATTATCTAATTTGCTGGCATAGAGTTGCTCATAATATGTTCTTATAATTGTATTTCTTTGGTGTTGGTTGTGATCTCTCCTCTTTCATTCATGATTTTATTTATTTGGGTCACTTCTCTTTTTTTTTTGATATGTCTGGCCAGGGGTTTATCAATCTTATTAATTCTTTCAAAGAACCAGCTCCTAGTTTCGTTGATCTGTTCTACTGTTCTTT